ATGAAGAGTACTCATAAAAAATCCAGCAGAGTCCAAGTCATATGTAGTTTCTGGAACCAGTCCCTTTGGGAGAATCTGTGAAGTGGGTCTCCAAGAAGGGTCTCCGAATCTAGTCTTGTACCAGTTGTGTCCATTAATATATACTTTAAAAGTTATTAGCTTCATCTTAGTCCACCTGATTGATGTAGCACTGTTGGATTCAAAGGGAACACAAGTGCTACTTTGTTGTTGTTAATCCTTACTGGAAGGTATTTTGTCCATTGATTTATAGAAAGAATGGAAAGGGAGGGAAGATGAGTGGGTGGGAAGAGGGAGAGATCGATGTGAGAGAAACAAATCAATTGGTTGCCTCCTGCAAGCGTCCTGACTGGGCCAGAGATCGAATCTGCAGCCCAGGTATGTGCCCTTGACTGGGAATCAAACATGAGACCCTTCTGTGTACAGGCCAGTGCTGTATCCACTGAACCACACTGGCCAGGGCCCCAGTGCTACTTCTCATGGTCATCATTGAACAAGAATGTGATTAATGAGAAAGATTGAGGAGTTTGGAGAGAGAGAGAGAGAGAGAGAGAGAGAGAGAGAGAGAGAGAGAGAGAAGGAGAGTGAGTGAGTGGGGGAGAGAGAAGGAGAGTGAGTGAGAGAGAGGCAGTCACTTTCAGCTTTGCTTGCCCCTGTGTTTCTTGATCAATCTTGCTGACCTGATCACTCTTCTCGCCACACTGGTTCAGGTCCCAGTGCCTCCTTTCCAGCTGGGTTATTTCCCACTTCCTGACCACTCACTCCTCTGCTCAGGTACCATTGTAGTAACAGCCCAGATTCCTATGAGTATACCTTGAGTAAGCAGGTAAAGCTGTTTAAAGAAAAGAGATGCCCAGGTCTCTGTTGAATAAGGGAGTTTAATATTGAATTATATCTGTTGTCTGTATTATAGTTACTAATTGAGAGAATCATTTTGAAATTGAATTGTATAGGTTTTATATAATACTTCTTTTAGCCTCTGATATCTAAATGTAGAAACTCTGACTTTCTAATTCCATCACATCAGGATGTATTTATTAAGAATTTATAAAGTTGTTATATGCTATTAGGGATGGCATCGTTGATTGTGTACGAATCCATTTTGAATCAGAGAATTCACTGCTAGCTCTTGATGACTGGAACTAACCTTTCAGGTTCACCAGGAAGAGCCATACGTTGCCAGGACAACTAAGGTTCAGGATCTGATCTCCAGGCAACCTTTCCCAGACTTACCTCAAATGCTTCCCCAAGCTTTTTCTGGAGAGTTCCTTCCCTGCCGTTCTCGTACAGCTTTGGGACTTCAGGAGGCGGCGAGCCCAAGAAATCCTGGAATGATGTGAGGTTTGGAATTTTCGAAAGACAAAGTATATGGATTAGGTAGTAGTAGCTATGCTGGAATGGAACAGTCAGGGTATAAGAGGAAGGAGGATAGTTTCTCCTTACCCTTGTATCCAAAACACACAACAGATTTTTTTTAAACAGTTACTGAATATTCCCATACTCCTGATTCATGTTAAGTCCTCCTGAAGGTCTGACTCATTATTTCAGTGACTTGTGAGGGAAGTAAGATGCTTTTTGTGTTTCTCGGCATTTCAGAGGATGGGTGAGCAGTGTATGAAGTGCTGGGGCTAATTAGCTTAGTAAGAGTTCTCTCTCTGATGTCATAAGAGGTTGCTGTTGCCCTGGCCAACATAAGCCAACAGTTGATTTGTTTAGGGCAGGCAGCGTTAGAGGTTCTGTGGGCATATGCATCATGGGAATCAGGCTGCAGATTGTTTCATGCCAAACTCTGAGATACTTAGAAATGCCCCCTTTTTTCTGAACAACTTTCAGAGAAGTGAACCAGGCCACTTGGGTTTTGGAACAGAAAGGAGCTTATGCTGTCACTGTTATTGAGCTGCACTTTTATATTTACTGGGGAGTAGCATTTCCCACTCCCCACCCCGGAATTCAACCCATCTGTAGAATTCATGAAATATATTATTTTTCCTAAGATAAACTAGTACTTAGGTTACCCTTCTAGTTACCCACTTAGAAGAAAAAACTCAGGAGCTAAAAATACTTCTCTCTGGTGTCCCTTATACCTCTTCAGTAACTTCTACATTTAGTTTCTCTCTTTCTCTCTTTTTACCTTTTCTATCACCTCCAGGTATATAAGCATCTTTTTGCAGCTAAATACAGCAGGTCCTCAAATGTGGTTTTGCTATAATGTTGAGGTGCTGTAGGGATTTAACTCTTGTTTATATCAGTTAGCCTATGGTAAAATTGGTTTCGTTGTGCATCATTTCGCTTCAAGTCACAGAACCTATTGATGACATTAAGTGAGGACTTAACTGTATTCACCCACACACGCAAGCAGCTGTGAAGACTAATGAGCTATCATGGAGAGAAGTTCTTAGATCACCTGCATTATCTGGATTAGGTAGTGAGGGTATCTAAGGAAGAAAATAAATTTTTCAGCATAAAAAAAAATAATAATAATAATAATAATGGCAACTAATGTTTTCTGAGCTCTCAACCTGTGTCTGGTGCTCTACATGGGTAACTCATGAACATCCGTACTGAGAAAGGTACTTCTAGCATCCCCATTTTATAGATAAGGAAATAGGCACAGAGCCCTGGCCAGTTTGGCTCAGTGGTTAGAGCATTGGCCCGTGGACTGGAGAGTCCCGGGTTCGGTTCCTGCTAAGGGCATGTACCTTGGTCACAGTTGTCCTCGGCCCTGATTGGGGTCATGTGGGTGGCAACCAATCAATCGATGTGTCTCTCTCACATAGATGTCCCCCCCCCCCCCCGCTCTATCTGAAGATAAATACAAAAATGTCCTCGGGTGAGGATAAAAAATAAGACCGGAGGAAGTAGGCACAGAGAGTGCAAAGTTGCCAACTACAACCTGAAGTGACTTTTTTGGGGGGGAGGTCTCATGTTTAATTTCTGCAAATTTCCCATTTAGTTTCTTACTATATCCATGTTTGTTTTTTATGTGAAAATAATTTTCTCCCCAGATCTTTCAGTAAATTGATGCATTAGGAAGAGAATACTCTTATTTCCCACCAGTTAGCCCCAGAGAGTTACACACACATCTGTGAGAAATACAGCCTTAAGAGTTATCAGTAGTTTGGCCAATCAGGGAGTAGTTAACCTAAAATTTGAGAGGGCCTGTGGGCCTGGGATGAAGCCTGGCACAGGGGCAGAGCCAAGGTGAGGAGGGGAGGACAGGAGTTGGTGTGTGCATGGGGAGTTGGTGCTGGGCACTTCATTCCTGAGGTGCTAGTTGAGCATCTGTTAGGACCTTTGCTAGGAGTTAGGGGATATAAAGGTAGGAAACTTCTTTCACAATGTTTATGAACTAGTCTTGGAGGTGAAATACAGCAAATCCATAGCTTTGCATCGTTGCCTGATTACTCAGTACTGGTTTAGGTGTTGAATATAACAGGCCTTCACAGAAGGCAGAGTGTGGTGTGTCTAAAGTGGTTGAGAAGGTTTTGTGGAAGAGGTGAGACAAAATTTCTGATGGATGGGTCACATTAAGAAGTAGGGGAGAGGAGGACAGTGTGGGCTAGTGAGTGATTCTGCTTGCCTTGCTTCTCACTTATTAATATTCATATGTATATTCATTTATCTTTTCTCTCAGAATCTTAGTATTCTCCCTAAGCTAGTCTTTACAGAATTTACCCCAAGATGACAGGCTTCCATGTATTATTATTTGTCAGATCTTCTGGGGGGTCTAAGTCAAGGATTGCCACTTTGTTGGCCATTGCTGGCAGATGATGTTTTATGGGCCGTGCATTATCCTTGCAGAAGCCGAATTTGAATTTCCTTAGGTGAGTCATGCACCCTCAGTTTGACACATTCCTTGCCTCTGGTCTTGTCTTACACCTGCCCTGACTCAACATTGAGATCACTTGCCTTTGTAAACACCTGAGTTTGCAGCTCATAGTATTAAGACTTTGTTGAAAAAAGGAAAAGGAACTTTAACAAATACGTTCTCATTAAGTGAAATTGCTTTCAGAGCTCGAGAACCTTAGTTTAAAACCTAATCTGCCCTTTTTCCAAGTCTCATCTTAAATTTTCTTTTGGCTTTTTGCCAAAGGAAGTAACATTTAGACCTGTTTTAGGCTACTTCTCCTTCTCTTCCCGTGAATAGGGCCTGGCTGCCTCAGAATTAGAGACTGGAAGATAGAAGCTTGGCACTGCTTGCTTTGAATACTTTTTGAAGCCTGGAGAGCCCATTTTTATTTAATTTGCATAACTTTTTCCACTGCATATGACTAAGGGCCTGGCAGGAAAAAAAAAATCAGCCTGAAGAATACTTCCAATATAAAGTAATGTGTGAGAACAGAGGATTGGAAATGGAAGCGCCTTTCAACATAAAAATTTCAGTTTGCGCGGGCGAAGACCTTATCTTCCCTTTTGGCATTTATTTTGGCCCTTTGCTGTCTTTTGGGTTACTGTAGTTGATAAAAGGCTGCCAAACACTACAATACTTCTTCCTTGTTTTCTGGCTGATGACAGTTCTCTGCACTGAGATAGTTCTGTGGCCTGGTAAACTCGAAATGTGTGCCTTGGGGTAGAATCGGACAGAAGCCACGAAACTCCTGCTCAGCTCTGCCTCTACGTAAAGATGAGCCACCCTCTGACGTCTCGGTTTCTCAGCCCCAGCTTCAGAAGCACGAAGTGGGCATTAGTCAGTGTCTGTGGTGGGTTTAAATGTAAGTCTGTGTGAGGTGTTTATAACTTCCGATGTAATTAGGAGAGAAGAGTAACTTTGCTCACTAACCTCTTGGAAAATGGGCTTGTTCTTTCTGAGGTTTCCTGCGGGGAAGATTGGTGCAAGTTGGGCCAAGGAGGTCCAAGGTAAGACCCTCTTCCTGCTCTGGTGCCTGCCAGCAGGGAAGGGACCTCAAAAAGGCAGGTCGTGGAGGAGCCAAAGCACAGGGCTCTCTGCTGAGCGCCTTCATGTCACCTTCCCTCCTCCCCAGGCATTGAGCGACCGCTTCAGCGGTGAGATCCCTGATGACCAGATGGCACACAGCTCCTTTTTCCCAGATGAGTACTTCACCTGCTCCTCCTTGTGCCTCAGCTGTGGGTAAGTGGGGCCAGCCATCTCCCCATCTTGGAAAAAGAGACTCAGAATGGTGCTTCTCAGACTTCAGTGTGGGAGCGAATCCCCTGGGGTCTGGTTAAATGACAGATTCTGATTTATGGGTGGGGTGGGGCCTGAGATGGTGAGTTCCAAGTACCCAGGTGATCCTGCTGGTTGGGGGACTATACTTTGAGGTTATGAGGGGTCCAGGACACATGGTTATGAAGAATCCCCTGAAGATTTCAACCTAGTTTAGATTTGAAATTAACTGGCTTCTGGTTTGGGCAGTTTTTACTGTAGAAAGCTTTAGGTTGCCTGTTTTTCTGTGTTTCTCCTACGAGGGCTTTCAATCACAGTAATTCCATTTATTCAACTAATATTTGATAGATAACCCAGTGTGTGCAAAGCACTGTGGTCCGTATCAGTTCTAGTTGATTCCTTTCACTGTGAGGGCTTAGAGCACAATAAAATTATCCAGGGAGTTTGCAAAATTATCCTGAGCCCCACCTCCAAGGAGGCTGATTGAATGGATCTGGAGTGGGGCTTGTATTGGTATATTTAAAAGGCTCCTGAGATTCTAATGTGTAGCCTGAGTTGAGGACATTGCATTAGGGCAGTGCTTCTTAAACTTCAGATTTTGTTAAAATGCAGAGTCTAGATCAGCTGGTCTGGGTGAGAATCTGCCATTTCTAATACGCTCCCGAGTGATGCCTGTGATGCTGGTCTGTGAACCACACATTGTTTTAGGCAGTCAGAGCAGTGATTCTCAACTGAGCATGCCATCAGAACAACCTGAAGGGCGTGTTAAAACAGATTTTTGGGCCTTGCACCCATAGTTTGATTTAATAGGTCTGATGTAAGGCCTGAGCACTTGTATTTCTGGTAAGTTTTCAAGTGATGCTGATGTTGCTGGTTGGGGGCCACACTTTGAAGGTCACTGGATTAATTTGAGCTGTTGACTGGCTATTAAGTCATAGTTTGGAGACTTGTCTGATGAAGCACAGGGGATTTAAATGCAGAGTGTCACCGTCAGATTGTAGTCTCCATGTCGTGGAGACACTCACTCCCCACCCTTCCACCCCTCACCGTTGTATCGTCCTTGCTTGCGTTTGCCCATCTACAGGAGGAGACGTGGGCCTTTTCTGTTGTGATAGCCTTTCGCTTCGAACCTGTAGGCCGCCTGCCGGACACTGAACCACCTTGGCTCTGAATTTGTAAAAAGGACTTGGCTGTTGGATTAGACAGTCTGGGGTAGGGAGTACTAGGATTATCTTGTACAGAGGGATGTTAGTTGCCAATGTGGTTTATCTTCTTTTTTTTTTTTTATCCTCACCCGAGGACATTTTTCCATTTTTTGTTCAGGTAGAGTGGGAGGGAGAGAGAGGAACAGAGACAGAGAGAGAAACATCGATGTGAAAGGGACACATCGAGTGGCTGCCACCCGCACAACCAACCAGGGCCGGGGACAAACTGCAACTGAGGTACATGCCCTTAGCGGGAACCGAACCCGGGTCTCTCAGGACCGCAGGCCGACGCTCTAACCGCTGAGCCAAACCGGCAGGGCTTATCTTCCTTTTTACTTGCCCCATGAACCCAGCAGGAGGAGCTTAGGCTCTGCTGGATCATCGCTCTTCCACTCTAATTGAGCATCACCAAGGTTTCCAGGACTTTCCCTCCTATCATAGGGAAATTCTCAAGTCCTGATCTGTTTTTGTCTTGTGAGGATGGCAGTGCTCACTGTTCATTTGGAAGGTTTTCTTGTCTGGCTTACGCCTCCTCTTAATGTGTTGCCAAATGTTAGAGGATGATTTTTGTTTGGCATCTTGGCAGCCTGTTCTGGTTGAATGTATTTCCTGCTGTTTGGGTTTTTTAATTTCCTGAGAGCCATTCAGGATTCATCTCTTACCAAGGTGATATCTTCTGGCCCTTCTGTTCCTACCGAGGGGCCGGGAGGCTTTTCTATTTCCTTGTTTCTCTTTTTCTCCTCATACAAGGGCCCTAATTGCTCTACTTTTGTGGTAATGTTGATTGCAAGCATGAGAGGCATGTGTGTTCCTGAAACTAACTGCCCTTTCTGTGCTCAGTATCTGGGATCTAGTTAATAACCAAGGTCTGGTTTTGGGCCCTGTGTCTGGCTCGGGGTCAGATTCTTCTGCGTAGGTAGTATTGGCTCCTTTGCCCATCTCACTGTCAGCTTTTGGGCTTCACTCAGGGCTGGATGTAAGAACAGCATGAATCACGGAAAAGAAGGAGTACCTCATGAAGCCAAGAGCCGCTGCAGCTACTCCCACCAGTATGACAACCGAGTTTATACTTGCAAGGTGAGTCTCCGAGCTTCTCCCTGCTCCAGCAGCTGGCTTGCTGGTCACACTCTCCTTTTGGAAAGATTGACTTGGGGCACCCTAGCTGCATCCCAAAGTATTTGACCTTCAAACTGAATCTCCCTGGAACTTCCCAGCTCTAACCAAAAGAACGCACGTGTCTTTGTTGCTGGGGCCCTGTGGTGTTTTCTTAAAAACTTATTTTCCCCTCATTCTGTTGAGCTTATATGCAGGGCTCTTCAGGAACCATTTTGATTTCTTCTATCTGTGACAGGTGTATAATTTACAGCTCAGTTTTGGGGCCTGGGATGGGTATACATTCAATTCATGACCATGGGGGCACTGGCTTCTTTAGAGAAATGGACTTTCTTTTGATGTGCTAACATGGGGCCTGCGTGGCTTTTGGGGAGTGGGGCTGGACAGGGATGTGAAGAGGCCATGGGGGCTGGTGTACAGAGGAGAAGCTGGCAGAGTGCTCCATGTTTCAGGCCTGCTATGAGAGAGGCAAGGAAGTCAGCGTAGTACCCAAGACATCTGCTTCCACCGACTCCCCCTGGATGGGTCTTGCAAAATATGCCTGGTCTGGGTGAGTTTAAACAACATAGCTAAGGGTTGTCCGGTGTGTTTGTCTTCCCAGGAACCTGGCTGGTAATAGTATCTGTTTGCATTCCTTGTAGGTATGTGATCGAATGTCCTAACTGTGGCGTGGTCTATCGTAGCCGGCAGTACTGGTTTGGGAACCAAGATCCTGTGGATACAGTGGTGCGGACAGAGATTGTGCATGTGTGGCCTGGAGTAAGAGCAGTTTTATTTATTCTTATTTTTCTTGTATGGTTGATTTATTTATGTGTGTGGAAAAGTGGAACCTGTTCAAAATTAAGGTTAACCATGAATTTTAGTATATTGGTGGTTTAAGAAGGCATGATCTGGGGGGGACTTTCTTGTTCTAGACCATTAATTATTTTCATTTCTTTTTGCATAAATACTAGAAGCACAACTTTAAATAAAATAAATGAAAAATTGATCTATATTTATATTGCCATAGCAAATAAAACTTCATTTTTCATTCTTCTCACTCATTTTTCATGTGCATATGTTTATATAGATGTGATTATAATTTACATGCCATTTATCTGCCTTTTTCTCATATCACAATATTATTCTTTCCACATTGCTTCCACTTTTCATGATTCTCAGTTGTAGTCTCTGTAACATTCTGTCTAGTGTTATAGTTTGATTCCCCATTCTTTTTATTTATGTTTGCATTTATTATTCTTAAAATATGTTTTTATTGATTTATAGAGAAAGAGGAAAGGAGAGGGAGAGAGAAAGAAACATCAGTTGGCTGCCTCTTACACACCCTCCATTGGGGATCGAACCTGCAACCCAGGCATGTGCTCTGACTGGCCATGGAACTGGCGACCTCTTGGTGAATGGGTTGACGCCCAACCACTGAGCCACACCAGCTGGGATCCCCTTTCCCTTTTTAAACTTTCATGCTATTTTATGAGTTTTTTATTATTAAACAAAATGCCACAGTGACCATATTTATGTAAAAAAGCCATTCCTGTATTTTAGAAATTTTCTTGACATTTACGCTAAGACATGGGATTACTGTAGACCCTTACTATTTTTTTATTTGATTTTTGAATTCAAGATGTTGGAAAAATGAATCTGTGAGGCATTGATAGGTTGCTTTCATTCTGCATTAAACTATAATTCACACCTAAAATTGCTCATAAATCACAACACATCCAAAACCTTTTTTATCATGGAAGAAAGATAAGTAGTTTTCTCAAAGGGACTTTTTTTTTTACTTGGTGATGTTCCCTTGCTGGTGATTCCAAGAGGCACTGGTCAGCCAAAGAAGCCTACCTGCAGATCTATCTTTGAGCTGTCCTGGATCCTTTAGGTACCATAAAACTGGCAATTTCCTTGTTTTATTCCTCTTGTTCCCAGTTTCTAGCCCCACTGAAATTTGTCACTGCAGTGGGGTCTCATTTCTGGAGTCCACCCCTTTGACATGATGGTCCAGGCCATTCTGGTCCAAGGATTGATCTATTTATTTTAAAAATATTTTTTCTTTATTGATTTTACAGAGAAAGGAAGGGGGAGAGAGAGAGAAACACCGATGAGAGAGAACATCGACTGGCCGCCTCCTGCATGCCCCCCATTGGGGATTGGGCCCACAACCTAGGCATGTGCCCTGACAGGGAATTGAGCCAGTGACCTCTTCGTGCATGGATCAATGTTCAACCAGTGAGCCACACCAGCCAGGCTGGTCCAAGGATTTAATATGGCCTCACACTAATATAATTTTCTCACAGGGTCTTTCATGACTAATGTCTATTGTTTTTTATCTGCATTAGTTCTTTCTTGTAAAAGCTATTGTCTCTATGGCAAGATAGTTTATAGTCCAAGGAAACAGTAATACTGTAGTGTACTTTTAGGCTGTAGTACTCATAACCCTTGGAATTAGGGAATATAAGCTCCTCTCCTTCTGTTCATTCACTCATCCATTCGTTATTTCAAAATATGTTGTTAAGTATCGTGTGCCTCAGAAATGAACAAGATAGGTTATTGTTCTCAGAGAGTTTACAGTCTAATAGGGAGTCAGGCATATAAACAGACATTGCACTTACACGTGGAAATAGAACTATAGATGTACAGGTATTAGAGGAACTGAGAAGGACGGCTTCTCAGAGGGGGGCTTCCCGCAGGAGGTGTCTTTACAGCAGTGTAAAGTCTCCTGGATTGTATATCTCGCGTATGGGCGAAGGAAGTCCTGATTGAACAGTTGTGCTGAGTCTCATGGTCGCCTGGAAGAGACCAATCAGTAATGACTGGTTGGTGTGATATTGCCTAGAAGCCAGAGGGATTTCTGGCGTGTCCCCATTTTTCTCTGCCAGGGTTTTGTGGTTCTGAGTTGACCGTGATGAGTGTGCAACTCACCCAAGAACCCTTTCCCTTTTTCCTTTGAGTCCCCTCACTCAGAGCATAACGGGAGCCTGCATTTTCATTTCAGACTGATGGGTTTCTGAAGGACAACAACAATGCTGCCCAGCGCCTCTTGGACGGGATGAACTTCATGGCTCAGTCGGTGTCTGAGCTTAGCCTCGGACCCACCAAGGCTGTAACATCCTGGCTGACAGACCAGATAGCCCCAGCCTACTGGAGGCCCAACTCCCAGATCCTGGTAGGGTGTGGCAGGATGCTCCTGTACCCCTGGCGCGGCCCATTTTGTTTGTACTGCCTCCCCGTCCTAAGCTTATTCTGTGGGGGAGGCATGGAATTTCTGTCCCTGTTGGGTTAACTCCCAGAGTATTGGAAAGGGGGGTACAATAAAGCAGGCAGATTCCTCTTTGCCCACTGATTTCCCTCTGTGTTATCCTGCAAGTATTTTCTCTGTGGTAGATTTTAGTTTCCTTACCTGTAAGAGCCAGTCATCATTGATCAGATGTCTAAGGTCATAGATACAGAATCTGAAGGAAAGGAGCTTTGAGAGATCATTTAGGGTCATCCTTAGCTTGATCCGTAAGTCTCTACAGTACCCACAGCAAAGGCGTCACCCACCTGTGGTCCAGATTATTTGTGACAGGGACCTTGCTCCTCACCAACTTCCCAGAGGCTCTTTTGAGAAGCCGTTAAAAGAACAAAGTTTATTTCTCTTCTGGCTAGGATTAGACCTCTGAGAACCCTGTGATTCAGCCAAATGATCTGAGAACCTTTCCAGGTACTTCTTGGAAGAAATGCTAATCATAGCTGCTTCAGTGGGGGCATTCTGTGTGGCTGGAGGTTTTAGGGCCCTTCCATTAGGACTGTTGGGGCCCTGCCTTTTCAAGGTGGTCCTGTGGTCCTCCCCCTGGGTTTCGGTAACTTTCTCAGCTGAGCAGACACGAACGATACCTACCTCTGTTTGTTTTGGGCTTGGAACAGAGCTGCAGCAAGTGTGCTACATCCTTTAAAGATAACGACACCAAGCATCACTGCCGGGCCTGTGGGGAGGGCTTCTGTGATGGCTGTTCATCCAAGACCCGGCCAGTGCCCGAGCGGGGCTGGGGCCCCGTGCCCGTGCGGGTGTGTGACAACTGCTACGAAGCCAGGAATGTCCAATTAGGTAATGGGGGGTCTGGGAGCTGCAAAGGTGGAGGGAGGAACCTCTCTCCTTGGCACTGGGTGTTGGGAACTGAACTCCCACATGCTCAACCCTATTCCTCACTGCATCACTCTTCTGAGAGCAGATGTTCCCTTTGTCTTGGCCAGTCATCCTCTGAGTCCTGGGGGTGCAGTTCCTTGGTGGTGGTGGGGGGGAGAGGGCTATTAATCCTATCCTGTTTACCAGACATGGTTTAGACTGAGTCTTATCCTTGAGAAGGTTCTAGGTCATGCTTCTGGAACCTTTCCAGTTTACTTTAAAGGAAGGTTATGAAATAGCTCCAGAGGGTTGAGGTAAAGGACTAGCAGATGTCACTGGTTTCAGGGCCTGGGCTGACCTGACCCGTAGCCCAGACCCTTGCAGTCATTGCTGGACAGCACAGTGGTACCCTGGGCGAAGAATCCAAAAGCGCTCTGCTATTGCCCTCTGAGTTTTCCATTTGGGAAATGTCTAAGCTGACGGCTTTTCCTTCATCATTGTCTACAGATGTTGCTGAGGCACAGGTGGATGATGAAGGTGGGACACTGATTGCTCGGAAGGTGGGCGAGGCTGTGCAGAACACTTTGGGAGCCGTGGTGACAGCCATTGACATACCACTAGGTGGGCCTGGCAGTGCTTCTCTGGGGTGTAGTGTATGTGGGATGGAAGGTTTCAGTGCCCAGGCTGTCATTTCGTCAAAGGCTTGCCCCGACCTAGGTTGAGTTGGGCAGCAGAAAGTTGACTGAAAATTGGTTGGCATTTGCTTACTGCTGCGGAATACCTTAGTGGATTCGTGTTTCCCTCTGGAGGCCATTTTCTTATACCACCAATTGCTGCATAATAAACTACCTGAAAATGTAAAGGCTTAAAACGGCCACCATTTTACCATGTCTCACAACTTGAAGTCAGAAAGGGTAACTCTTCTGCTTCAAGTGGCATTGCGATATTTCAGTGTGGCAGCTGGTCTCGAGGGTTCAAGCCAACCTGACTTACATGCTGGGCCTTGGAGGCATGCCTGGAAGGCTGGGGCTCAGTAGACCCTCCTTCTCGCCATATATTCTCCAGGCCTCTCCATGTGGGTTTTTTTTAAAATGACTTACATTTTTTTCATTTTTTGTTCAGATAGAGCGGGAGGGAGAGAGAGGAAGAGAGAGAGAGAGAGAAACATCGACATGAAATGTACACATCAAGTGGCTGCCACCCACACGACCCAACCAGGGCTGGGTACATGCCCTTAGTGGGAACCGAACCCGGGTCTCTCTGGACCGCAGGCCGACGCTCTAACCGCTGAGCCAAACCGGCCAGGGCTTAAATGACTTTTTAAGAAATTTATTTTATTGAGAGGAAATAGGGAGAGAGGGAAACATTGATGTGAGCATGAAACATTGATTGGTTGCCTCCTGCACTAGTCCCTGCCAGGGACTGAACCCGTAACCTGGTTATGTGCCCTGATCAGGAATTGAACCACCACCTTTTTGTGCATAGGATGACAGTCCAACAACTGAGTCACCAGCCAGAGCTCCATTTGGTTTCTTTATTGGTAGTTGGACTACTTTTTTTTTTTTAAAATCCTCACCCGAGGATGTTTTTCTATTTATCTTTAGAGAGAGTGGGAGGGAGGGAGAGAGGGAGGGAAAGAGAGAGAGAAACATCGACGTGAGAGGGACACATCAACTGGTTGCCTCCCACATGACCGTGACCAGGGCTGGGAACAAACCGCAGTCGAGGTATGTGCCCTTGACCGGAATCAAACCTGCAACTCATTGGTCTGTGGGTCGATGCTGTAACCACTGAGCAAAACTGGCCAGGGTGGTAGTTGGACTTCTTTATATGGTGGCTCAGGGCTCTAAGAGCTAATATTTGAAGAGACAAGTAGAAACTGCCAGGCTATTTTAAGGCCTAGGCCTGGAAACTTCACCTCTGGTTGTGAAGGGTACTTATAACCAAGATGAGAAGAGGGAGAGGAAGGGAAAACCACCTGTGTGTGGAGAGCTTAGGCAGGGTTGGTTGGACCTGGGGTACTTCAGCCCTTCGTAGGGGAGAGACCAAGGACTCCTGGGTGGATGGTAATAAAAATTGCTTGTAACAGATTTAATCACTGGCTCACAAAAAGAGCAGATGATGAGCTTTGACTCCAGGGTGTAGGAGTAGATGGATTTGCCCAGGCTTGAGGTTCAGGTTGCATCTGCCGTCACGGGAAACTGGGAGAGGCAGGGCCTCCCTTGGCACAGAGAGCCTGCCAACTGTGCTCACCAAGTGCTCACCGGCTGTCAGGGCCCAGGCCAGCGTGTTAGACTCGTTATTTCTTGTAATCCCTATAACAGCTCTTGACGGTGGGTTAAAGATCGGGAAGCCGAGAAGTAACCTTTCGTAATCCTGCAGCTGTTAATTAATTGGTACTCCGTGGAACTGGCATCTGAACGAAGATATATCCTGACTCCAAAGTCTGACTTCTTATTGTTACTCCAGTGGTTTAATGCAGCTGCACCTTAGGATCACCTGGAGAGCTTAATAGATAAGCAAATTTCAGTGTCTGGGCCCCAGCCCTGAAGATTTTGGCCTGGGTGGTATAGGGGGAGGACCAGGAGTCTGCATGTTTAAAAGGTCCGTAGGTGGCCCTGGCCGGTTTGGCTCAGCGGTTAGAGCGTTGGCCCGCGGACCAGAGAGGCCTGGGTTCGGTTCCCGCTAAGGGCACGTACCTCGGTTGCAGTTTGTCCCCAGCCCTGGTTGGGGTTGTGTGGGTGGCAACCAGTCCGTGTGTGTCTCTCACATTGATGTTTCTCTCTCTTGTCCTCCCTCTCTCCCTCCTGCTCTATCTGAAGATAAATGCAAAAATGTCCTTGGGTAAGGATTAAAAAAAAAATTTAAAGGGCCGTAGGTGATTCTGTGTAGTTGGATTGTGAGCCAGTGGAGGGTCTGAGGACGCCTTCGGGCATCGTGGGACTCTGGGTGTTAGGTTTCTCGTGTCCTGCTCATCATGGTGCCTTCCCTGCCACAGGTCTGGTAAAGGATGCGGCTCGGCCGGCATACTGGGTGCCTGACCACGAGATCCTGCACTGCCACAGCTGCCGGAAGGAGTTCAGCATCAAGCTCTCCAAGCACCACTGCCGGGCCTGCGGCCAGGGCTTCTGTGACGAGTGCTCCCATGACCGCCGGGCTGTCCCTTCTCGAGGCTGGGACCATCCTGTCCGAGTCTGCTTTAACTGCAATAAAAAGCCCGGTGACCTTTAACCCTAGCTCCCTTTCCAAGTCCTTCACAATTCCTTAGGTTCTCAGGGTTAGAAACAGAAGTCTCATTGAGGTAGGCCCTCCTCCTGGTCATCTGTTGTGGTGTGTATCCTCTCTGCTCATCCTGGGGCCACTTTCCCACAGTGTGGGGTAGGGCAGATGGCAAGCTGGGGTGAGCCTGGCGGCAGGCCCGAAGGCATAAACCCCTCAGGGCAGGGGACCGAGCAGCTTATAGAATCCATTGCATTTATTTCAGTTAAAAATAACTATTTACCTGTATAGACATATGAAAGGAACATGGAGTCTGTTCAGGCTGCTGTTGGTTGCAAAGACTGACTACAGTCTGTCCCCAGCACAGGGATAAGGTGGCAGTGGCAGCAGGTCTTCCCTATAAAACCGAGCCAGGTACAAAGCCACTGTGTTGCTGGTCACCTTTTCTTCTTCCCAAGCCTTTGAAGCCCCTCCTTTCCTTGCCTTTTCCCTTCATGCCTCTTGGTTGCCGGGGTAAGCAAGCTTCCCAGGTGCTTGCTTGGAATAGCCTGGAAGGGATCTACCTGGGCCTCCAGAGCTGGATCCCAGTCCTTGGCCTACGCCTGTGTCAGAGACCACTTAACTTAGTGCAGGTCACCAGAGTGGGTGGAGGGTGAGGGGTAGGGTCCTCAGCCCTGAGAAGTCAAAATGTGGGTGATGTAACATCCTCCTACCTGCAGAGCTCAGAAGATAGTGGGTCCCTCCAGCTGTGTCCTGCTTGTCGCTGCTTCTGTCTGTGCATCACTCTGCTTTCCCAGAGGCTTTGCCCTGCTCCGAGATACAGCGCCTGCTTCCTTCTCCCTCAGCCCCCAAGCCCACCACCTGCTTCTAAGTGTTGCACTAGGATTTTCATTGCTTATTTTGAAGTGTCTTAATTCTTTGTTCCCAGACACATGACCCCTCTAGCTATTGGAGGGGGTGATCATGAGAAATCTTCCAGGGAAACAGAGCACAGAATGGACTGTTCATTGTTTTCTGGTTTTGTTTTTTGAGTATATATAAATATTTCAACAGATCACGAAGAAAAAAAATCTCTCTGGTCCTTGCAGGAGAAGTCAAATGAACTTTTGTTTCTCATTAAGAGCTGGGACATCCTTCTCTGTCGTGACTGGAAAGAGACTGTTGTGCTGAAATCCTGTCATTATGGTGGATTTTATCTTCAATGGCCAAAAATGAAGATTTAAAAAGTGACATAGATCTTGACTGAACTGGTGGGTGGGTGGAGCTTCAGGGAGGTACTTGGCAGTCACTCCTGGAGTGTCAGTGTGACATGAGCCCTGGAACGTGCTGTTCCTCTGACCTGCTCCCTTACGCCTGTGGCCGTGACTGAGGCCTTCTCAGTACTGTGTATCATCCACTTCGCCGTTATAAAGGAATCTTCCTGCTGGATGCGGACTGTGCCGGCTCCTTTTCACTCCGTCAGTAAGTCTTGCTCCCTCTTTCTAGTTGATAGGAAGGTAGCTGGTGGCTTCCCAAGCAGAAGCCAGCAGTATTATTTTACCTGTAAATACCTGTTTATTACTCTAACAAGAACTTCAACAGCATAACCAAATACCACAAAACCATTATCATATGGGTTTTAATCTGACAGGCTGTTTGTCCCCAGCTTTGGATAGATCGCATGCCCCTGCTCACTTTGCTGACTTGGACCAGGAATTTTGTAGGTGTTCAAACTGATGGTCAGAGAACTCATTCTCATGGTTTGAGGGCTCTAGTGCTCACTGACCATGCTATTCTCTTGTACACTGGCTGTTCCTCAGAGCTTTCCACAGAGGGCGTGAGACCAGGTGATGGTGGGGTGGGGCTCGGAGCTGCAGCACAGGCTGAGCTGCGTGGCCTGGTCCTGAGCGGGGCAGCCTGTGTTGGGTGCTGAGTGGTAGCAGCTGCTTAGCTTGTGTCCTAAGAGTTTCACCCTGGGAGCTGTGGGATCACATTTCCTCGTCATCTCTCACAGAAGAGGTTGGGTGTTATTAGTGACCTTTGGAAACACTGGGGAAAATCTACCTTTTTATGTCATCCCCCTGCCCTGCCTTGTCTGTTCAACTCCTGTCTGTCTGTCCTCCACTGTTTCTTCATCTTGATGCTGACCTCTAGTCTTTGTCCCAGCCTTTCTCTTTTTCGTCTCTCTCCTGCTCCTAGACCCTTTTGTCTTTATCTTCTCTCTACTTCTTGGGTAGGCGGGGCAGGGTGGGGAGGGTTTGGGGGAAGAGATATATGGTGTGGCCCATGTTAGACCTGGCCCTTTGTCCTGTCGCTGTGCAGGGGCACCCCGAGCATGGGAGTCTGCCTAACCACAGAAATGACGCAGAACAATATTCTGAAATTTCTTCCTTTAGTCGGATCAAGAGAAAAGGAAGGCAGCCCAGTGGTAAAGTAACAAAAGGTTCTGTGGTCTTGCTCCTCACCTCCAGTCCTATCCTCAACTAAGTATCAGGTGAACCCCAGCTGTACAGGATGAAAAAGGTTTGAGAACACCCATCGAACTGTCGTACATACACATTTCAACTTATTTTTCTGAAACTGAACATACGTTCATCTAACACCCAGATGAAAAAAAATAACATAACTAGCCCTGGCCAGTTTGGCTCAGTGGTTAGAGTGCTGGCCTGCGGTCCAGAGAGACCTGGGTTCGGTTCCCGCTAAGGGCACATACCTCAGTTGCAGTTTGTCCCGGGCCCTGGTTGGGTTGTGCGGGTGGCAATCACTCGATGTGTCCCTTTCACGTCGATGCCCCCTTATCCCCCAAACAAAAAGTGGAAAAATGTCCTTGGGTGAGGATAAAAAAACATAACTAGATCCCAGGAACCCCTAGTCCTTCCTCCCACCATGAGTACCAACTATCCCGAGCTCTATAGCACAGATTAGTCCCGCATCCCCCTTTTAGGGAGATGCATGTAAGTTTTTTTTAAAGAATTTATTGATTTGAGACAGACATTGATTTGTTGGTCCAAATAAATAAATATTTATTTATAAGTATAAATAAATAAATATTTATTTATTAAATAAATATATATTTAAGCATTCATTGGTTATTTTTTCATCCTCACTAGAGGGTATTTTTTTCCAATGATTTTTAGAGAGAATGGAAAAGAGAGGGAGGAGGGAGAGAGAAACATTGATGTGAGACAGATCAACTGGTTGCCTCCTGCACATGCCCTGACTGGCACCAGGGATCAAACCTACAACCCCGGTACATGCCCTTGACTGGGAATCGGACCCACAACCCTTTGGTGGGCAGGCCAGTGCTCTAATCACTGAGCCACACTGGCCAGGGCAATTGGTTGATTCTTGTATGTGCCCTGATCAGGGATCAACCCTGCAACCTTGGCATATTGGGACGACACCTGACTGAGCTACTGCAGCTAGGGCATATTTTAATAACTTGACGGTTTACAAGACTTGCTTAGTTTAACTACTTTTCATACAACCTTGACCAAATGTTAGGAGCAGTGACTGCTAACTAGAGATCAAGAACAACTCGCTGCCCTGGCCCAGCGGTTAGAGCATTGGCCAGAGGACCAGAGAGTCCCGGGTTCGGTTCCACTAAGGGCAGGTACCTCGGTTGCAGTTTGTCCCCGGCTCCGGTTGGGGTCGTGTGGGTGGCAGCCAGTCCATGTGTCTCTCTCACACTGATGTTTCTTCCTCTCTCTTCCTCCCCCTCTATCTGAAGATAAATGCAAAAAATGTCCTCAGGTGAGGATAAAAAAACAAAACGATACAAAAAAAAATCAACTTACTAAATTTAAATTAGAAGTTTTGAAAGTCCCCTCCACACACACTTAAAAAAATTTAACAACAATCTAATGACTCTTTGACAACTGTATTTACCTAACAAGAAACTTGGGCTCTGGTACTGTTGATCAGAGGAGTTAAGAAGTTAGTATTCCCTTGAGTAGTCAGAAGGTCTCCACTGTTTGGGGAAGAAAGCAAAGTTGAACTGAGTAGCCAACGATGGGCTCTTGGCTCCCCTGAAATAGCACAGAACTGTGAGAAAGCTCTGCATTAGACGTGGAGAACCAGCAAGTCTAAATTGCAGATCCTGTAACAAGTGAACTTGTGTATTGTGGTAACTTAGATCTTGAGGGGACAAGAGTATGGGTGGATGTTAGGGTCATGGCTCCGCATTTATCACACTTGTTTGTGTTCTTGGGCAGGGGCATGTCATACAAGTTAGTCCGAGAGACTCCGCAATGAGTGGTCACCTAGACCCTTCAATCGTATAGGTATTTCCTGGGACCCATGTACAGGTCAGCCTGCCAGGGTTGCCAAGATACAGGGACAAATTTAAATGATTAAACACATAAGAATTAGCAAGCTTCTCATCCGTTGGTACCAGAAAAATTCATTTACCTAGTGATTAAGTATCATGAAACGTTAGCACTGCATATTTATACTTGCACCAAGCCACTTCCCGTTTTCTCCATAGCATTAGTTTCAATGCACAAGTATTCTCAGTGACTGGAGGAGCAGGAAGAACAGAGAACCTGATCTCAAGGCTTCCGACTCCAAGTCCCCCACTCTCCACTTAACAAGGTCTGTGATCTGAGGCAAGTCACTCAACATCTGTGCCCAGGCTTCTCTACCTGTAAAATGATGCTAATAATTTTTGTTACTAATACTATACTACAGCCTTTATGGGTTGGTATAAGGATCAAATCAGATAAGATAGGGGAAAGTTCTCTATAAAATATGAGGCACTAAAAATATTGTAAACACTTAGCTCATTTATCAGATGACCAATCACTCATCCTTTTTTACTTGGTTCTCTGTACATTACATTGTATTAGTTTGAATTCTAGGAGGAAACAGATGTAACAGCCAAGGGGGTAGCTAGTGAAGCATTCTGGGCTAGCAGCATCTAGGTGCACTTACCAGCTATAGTGCTCGAGAGACAAATGGAGAGGTTACTAGAACCCAGAGACAGCTGTGTTCAACAGCTGTGGCCTTGGGTGGAGGAACACAGCGACAGCCCCCACAGCCCAGCAGGAGGGGAGCAGGGACTAACAATCCCACCTACTCTCCTGCCCTCTGCTTTTCTACTGGTACATCCCCCTGGCTGAACCCACCGGGGCTAGGTGACCACTGGGGTAGTCCAGAGGTCAGCTTGGGAAACACACAGCAGGTGAAAAGGGCACACAGGTGGAACTGGGGGGGCAAACAGAAGCTCCCCAGCAAAGCCATTAAGGCTGGTCCCAGGCTCCACCCATCTTTTTTCCTCACCCAAGATTTAAACAGACATCTCTGTGGCTGGTTTGTTCCCACAGCAGCCAAGCATCACGATCTTCTAAATCATGGAAGTCCACACCCCATACCATGGTTCTCTCGTTTCCTGTTCGGTAGGAAGACAAGCTCTTTAACACCTGGTATAAACATCTCACAAACTGCTCCTCATAGCTGTAAAAAGTCAAAGCCAGCTTCCTTTGAGACCCTCAAATGTGACATTCAGTCACCACGGTAGAAACAGGAGCTGCTGTACCTAACATTCGGGAAGACGCCTCAACAAAAGGCATGCCAAGGCCTGCTTAAACCCAACGATAAAAGGAAAATCCCAAAGATTTGCGCCTTACATTGAGTGTGAGGCTAGTTTGATGATTCCAAACTCCAGCCTTACGTCTTTCTCTAGAAACGGAAAATTCAGTCCCCTCTTCCTCTCCAGCTGGCTTTCTCCTGTCCAGAGGCATGTCTTCCTGGGACCCAGGCACACTGGTAAGGGTCCTTAATAGTCTCGGCCAGTCTCATCACTAGGCTCCTTGAAAGGGCTTTTGGTGAAAGCAGCTTTAATTTAGTTATTTCCAATCTTCAGATCTTAGAAAAAGTATTTTTTTATTTATAAAGGGGGGGAGGCACAAATCTAAGGAATTAAACAAAGGGAAATAGGTACCTTTTATGAAAAGGACTTTCAAGCTCTCTGAGCCCCACAACTTAACAAATAACGTTACTAAAGTGTCTCCACATAAAACATAGCACCTTCTTTCTCCCCAGCAACTGGATGGATGGGATCTGTGTGTACAGAGCACCCATTTAAACTGCCTTCACTGGAAACAGCAATTATGGCAGAGGTTTGGCTACTCTTGACCCTTCAGTCAAATCCACATTCCTCCAGGCTGCTTCCTGCAGAATCAGCTGTAGGGAAAATAGTAAAGGTCCTGCTGGACGGCCATGAGCAGCCCCGGCGCTCCCCGGAAGCCCCCAAGCCGAGAAGAGAAGGCCACGCTGGGAATGTTGGTCCTGGAGGTGGGGTGTGGGGAGGGTATGGTTCTGAGCAGGTGGGTATCATGGAGGCTCCAGATCCTGGTGTAGCAGTCCTGGCCCACTATGAGAGAGGGAGACACGTGGCAGGTTAGTGAGTGCAGAGAACCTGTGGACACGGACATGGCTCCTCATGGTTCCGTGGGAGTCAGAATGCAAAATCTCAAATGGAGAGTATTGCTACTGATAATATGTAGTTTTTGAAAATCAAGGTTACGGGCTGCCTTGGTGCTCTAGAACCATAACTTGTTGCATGGATTCAAAGTGACAAGGTGTACTGGCCGGCTGTGTGACACCTTGGATGGCTCACTGGGTATCCTGGCTAATGGGCAGGCATTGTGCTTCTCGGTGTCAATGGCTGTTCAGTAGGGAGCCCAGCCCACCTGGCCTCAATGACATGCAACTGATTTCCCTTTTATAAAATAGTAGCCAGGAAGATCTCATGACTTAGTACATCCTGGAGACAGACTAGGTGCCAACCTCCCCAGAGCTCTTTCTGGCTTAACAGTTCAGTTCTTAAGACCACAGAGTTTTCAGGGCTCAGCTGTGGGAATGGGACACCTGGCACCCTTGGTTAGGGGCCCAGACACGACACATGTACTGGAAAGCTTCGAGGAAGAGGACAGTCCCGAGGCGATCCTGGATTTCATTCTGACCACCTGAGGGACAATGCAACCGGCGCCCCTCAGCTGTGGGTGACTTCAGGGAGCACAGTTCATTGCAGCCAGCCCACTACCCACATTCGCCTGTCAGCAAGGCTTAGTTCCCTCTTTTTTTTCTTTGTTAATCCTCGCCCGAGAATATTTTTTCCACTGATTTTTATTTTTCTAAGAGTGGAAGAGAGGGGAGGGGAGAGAGAGAGAAATATAAATGTGAGAGAGATACATCTATTGGTTGCCTCCTGCATGACCCTGACTGGGGCTGGGGATCAAACCTGCAACCCAGGTATGTACTCTTGACTGGGAATCAAACCCACAACACTGCCCTGGCCAGTCTGGCTCAGCGGTTAGAGCATCGGCCCGCAGACCAGAGAGTCCTGGGTTCGGTTCCAGCTAAGGGCACGTACCTCGGATGCACTTTGTTCCCACCCCGGTTGGGGTCATGTGGGTGGCAACCAGTTGATGTGTCTCTCTCACAATGATGTTTCTCTCTCTCTCTTCCCCCCTCTCCCTCCTGCTCTATCTGAAGATAAATGCAAAAATGCCCTCGGGTAAGGATAAAAAAAGAAAACCTGTGGAAAGACTTAAAAGGGAAGCTTAGTGCTGGTGATGGTGACAGTAGTAAATAAGCCTAAGAAAGTCCTAACAAAGTGTAGCGTCTTAGCCACACAAAGGTTTCATGGGGAATAAGTACTTTCTGCAGGAATATTAGCAAATTTGAGAATCTGTGAAGACTGAGAATATATTCTTTAATGTCAAGGGCCTACTACTTCATTTGTCAAACCAACCAATTTCCACACTACCAGAATATTCTATAGTCCAGAAACAATCTAATGTAACTCCTTTCAGTGGGAGTTAGTGGCTAGGCAGCTCTGCTCCTCTTCTACAGATCATGGATCCACAGGGACGGTGTTAAAGGGACCAGGCATCACCTTTACAATGGCCTTAAATTCTTTTCTCAGCGTCCTCTGGTGGAAATGCAAGGACAAAGAACAGGGAGCCCGAGCTTTCTGACAGGAAGGTGCATGATGGAATACGGGCACACTGAACGCCGACCGGGCGAACAGATGTAAACCCTACACCCAGGTCTCCCAACGCTGCTGTTTTCCTGCCCCTAACTTACCTAGTACTGAAATGTTGGTCCACTGATGTGGGGACAGTGGGCTGTCCAACTGGTGGATGCTTCCACTGCTGCTTACTAATATCCAACTCGACATGCCATCTAGTCTCCCCCACCCAACAGTCCACGCCTTCTTTATTCTGCTCCGTTTGAGTAATTTCTCCCTCTACTAAAGATGCTGGGGCCCCGAAGGATAGAACTTGGTGAATAGAATCTCCCCTGCCCAGGTACCTGCCACCACGATGCCTTCTTCTTCATGCACATGCAGGGGCAGGAGGGCATACTCGTTCACGTGACCTTCGTACTGCCTTAGACACTTAGTGGTCCTCAGGTCCCACAGCTTGATCTATGGGAAGAAACGCAAGGGGCCGTTAAGGAGGGTCCAGCAGGTACACTGGTGAACCCCAGGCACAGAAGCCAGGGAGGGTGAGGTGGTCTCCAAAGACCTTCAGGTTAGAAAGATCTAAGCCTCAAACTCCTGAGGCCTAGACTCCATCAAAAGCACCATAACCAGTTCCACGTCTATCTAGACCAGACTGGGTTCCCGGTGGGCAGCAAAGCGGCTGCCCTGCCTAGGGTCTCTTCTGCAGAGTCCCTCTGCCTGCAGCCTCTGATGGCTTGAGAAAGTCAGTGCTACCCTACCGTTCCAGCCATGTCAGATGCCATCAGGCACTGCTCTTCTTGGAGGATTTGCACAGATGTCACTGCTGAGTCGTGGAATAGGCGGGTGGCCTTCCAGTTCTTGCCCTGATTTCGACAACGAATATCAATGGCGAAGATCTCCCCGGAGCGACAGCCATTAAACAGCAAAGGAGTCTGTGGAAAGAGGGTCTGCTTGGCACCTCCATCCAGGTCTGGGAGGAGTGCGCCCTCCAGAGCACGGCCTCCGCTCTTCCCCATCCCAGCCCTCAGAGGTGCGGCTAGTCTGAGTCCGAGCCTCAGTGGAGTTGGAAGGGTTCTTTATGAAAGGGGCAAAGAACTGGACCCCATGTGTCCCTCCAGGGTCCTCCCCACTGCCTGCACTGGCCCCTTAGGCCTCACTCAGAAGCCCAAGTGATAGCGCCATCTCCAAGGCTGTTCATGAGGGGTGACGAGGACGGAGTAGGAGATCAGAGGTCCAGGTAAGACAGGGGTCCCAAACAGAGAGGGAAGATGGCTGAAGAAACCTGAATTAATGAACTCTGCTTACTGCTGGGTGCAGGCCGGCAACTCCCTCCTCCACATTTTCTGTGGGACGAGTCTTTGAAATGTAGTAATGACTTGAATTTTGATTTTTAAAGTGTAACTTGAAAGCTGTGCATGGAACTATTAAGGGCTTGAACTAGGGCTTAATTTATACACTAAAAATTGCTCGTCCTACTGACTAATCCAAGTGCTACTTAAGAATTACTAACAGTTCATTTAAACAGGAAATTGTTTAAAACCAATTTAGCCAGGCCTTTCTGGATCAGCCAACTCTCACTCAGTGCAGAAATATTCAAATAACCCATTAATCCTTTCTGATGCTCTGTTTTCCCCTTTGAAAGGGGAAGGAGGACTGAAGGCCACACGGGAATCCAATTTCAATCCAGCAAAATTTCCGCTCTTGGGAACTTTATATTGCACCCTTCCCAATTCAACCAACCATGAGAGCAAACTGCTGGGCCAAGACATCACTGCTGGTCCCAAATGACAGCCGGTGTCCCGTCACCACATTGGTCACCAGTACCCACCGAGACAAGCCTGACAGAAACAGAGATGGGGCGGAGAGACAAGTGTCACTTGCAGTCTGGGGGAGGGGCTGCTGGATAAGGGGGTTTAAGGTCTGATAAATCCTTTACTCTGGGAGCCTGGGGTGCAGCCATGGCTCACCTGTACTGAAACAGTTATTCGCTTGGATGTTCATGGACCACGCACAGGACCAGGCCCCAGGGATCCGGAAACTGCAGAGCATGCCAGGTCGGTCTCCTGCTGAGAGAAACAGTGGATGTAAAGCATGGCTGCCCTCTAGGGACAGAGACCTTCCCTTCACACTCCCATGCCAGTGACCACCAGATTTGAGAACCCTCCAGGAACAGCTGCTCAGAGGGGTCTGTACCTTGGCCCCATTATGGGTTTTGTGGTAGCAAAACAAGACTCTGCCCGGCCGGTGTGGCTCAGTGGTTGAGCGTCGACCCATGCACCAAGAGGTCGCCGGTTTGATTCCTGGTCAGGGCACATGCCCAGGTTGTGGGCCTGATCCCCAGTGGGGGGCATGCAGGAGGTGGCCAGCTGATGTTCTCTCTCATCGATGTTTCTATCTCTCTCCCCCTCTCCCTTTTTCTCTCTCTAAAATCAGTAAGAAAAAATATTTTTAAAAAAGAGAGAGACACTCAGCTAGGGTCCTTGATTCACAAGTGGTTGTTCTAAGAGTGAATATATAAATCTTTCTAGATGTCCCAGCCACACTATTAGATGTGTAATGTCAAGCAAAACATTTTAAAAATAAACTCTTTTATTGATAAAACATATATAAAGGGCATAAATCTTAAGTATATAGCCACCACCCAGGTTAAGAAGCAATTTTCGGTACCCTCCCAATCACTACCTCCCCAAAGGGAACTGCTACCCTGACTTCTAACACCAAGATTAGTTTTGTAAGGCAAATTCTGCACTTCTCCTGGCCTCAGTTTCTTCATCTGTAAATTGGTGATAATACCTGCCTTGTAAACTACCTGTACAGCGAAATGCCAGGCACCAGGCTAAGTGTACACAACCTCATTTAACCCTCCATGTAACCTGATGGGGTAGATATTATCTTCACTTTACAGAGATTAAGCAAGATCTGCCTGAAGCCTGTCTAATTGATCCTAATTCTCTGAGCACTGGAAATTTAATATCCAGAATGTTGCCAGGAAGAAGTCCAGGATTCTGAACTGCCTTCAGCCAGAGAGTATCCCTGAGAGCACCGGCCGGTCACACTTTTGTGAATAATCTCTACTGGCAGCTCAAATAAATATTTTGATTTCTTTTTTCTTTTTTTCCATTTTTTTGTACAGATAGAGTGGGAGGGAGAGAGAGGAAGAAACATCGACGTGAAGGGACACATCGAGTGGCTGCCACCCGCACGACCAACCAGGGCCGGGGACAAACTGCAACCGAGGTACGTGCCCTTAGCGGGAACCGAACCCGGGTCTCTCCGGACCGCAGGCCGACGCTCTAACCGCTGAGCCAAACTGGCCAGGGCAATATTTTGATTTCTTGTTCTGGCTCCCGAAAAGACCCAAAAGGAGGAAACACGTAAAGAGGCACAAGCTTGCCCTGGCCGGAGTGGCTCAGTTGGTTGGGCGTTGGCCTATGCATGGAAAGGTCACTGGTTCAATTCCCTGTCAGGGCACATTCCTGGGTTACAGGCTCAATCCCCAGTAGGGGGCAGACAGGAGGCAGCCAATCAGTGTTTTACTCTCACATAGATGTTTGTTTCTGTCTCTCTCTCTCTGTCTCCCTCCCTCCCTTCTCTCTAAAAATCAATAAAAATATTTTAACAAATAGACAAAATAAAGATTCACATGCTTTAATACAAATCCTGGGTCAGGTTTAAGGACTCCCCAAGGCGCTTCTGCAGACTGTCCCACCCTTAGAGCTCTGACTTGGGTTCGCTGAGCCTGTGGTTCTCACCCTCCTGTTCAAGCCTTCACCAAGGAGTTTGTGGTGGTGGTGGCTGCAACTTCTGGGAGGCAGAGGACAGAGACCCTGTCACAACACCCCCTTATTTAAGCAATAAAAGGATCTGGTACCTGGATGACTATTGACAAACAGTGACGCTGGGAGCAGGGTGGCGCAGCCTGGAGTCTCCGCGATTCCCATGAGGCACAGCCTGGCAACGCTGTTAAGGACACTCAAGTACAAGTTCTCCTCCGGGAGGAGAGTGACCATTACTGCCCTTCAGAAACTACGAAAATAACACCCGTAAAGCCAGATTTAACACATTTACATTTTCCATATTTAGTTTCAGACTCATATAAAGGAAAAAAATTGTCACAGATACAGCTAACAGCCCTCTTTGACCCCACCCCCAGCCCAATTATCCCTTCTCCCTCACCCAGAAAGAATTACTATTCTAAAATGTCTGAGTTCTAGGCCATGTTATATTTCCACAGCACATTTTCCATGAGCAATATAAAGAACTGTTAATGTTCCAAAAACATATGTAAACGGCATCACACAGAGTACCTTCTACAAATTTTCCATCTCCATTGTCTTCTAGATTCATCAGTGTTGATGTCTGTAGCCCCCGCTCCTTCATTCACACCATTCTTTTTTTTTTTTTTTTATCCTCACCCGAGGACATTTTCCCATTTTTTTGTTCAGGTAGAGTGGGAGGGAGAGAGAGGAACAGAGGGAGAGAGAGAAACATCGATGTGAAAGGAACACATCGAATGGCTGCCACCCGCACGACCGACCAGGGCCGGGGACAAACTGCAACCGAGGTACGTGCCCTTAGCGGGAACCGAACCCGGGTCTCTCAGGACCGCAGGTCGACGCTCTAACCGCTGAGCCAAACTGGCCAGGGCCATTCACACCATTCTTTGTACATATACGTCACAAGTTATTTGTCCGTCTTTTGGTGCTGGGCACATAGGCTGTCTTTTTTTTTCTTCTTCTTTTTTCTCTGCTGCTGGAATGAGCGCTTCCCTGTCTCCCATACCCATGTGTGAGAGCCTTTTCTAAGGCAGTGTTTCTTAATCCCAGGGTAAGAATTTAATTTTACACTACTACATGCTATATATACACAACTCTATGAAACAAAAGTTTTATAAAATATTTGCCCTTACTAGGTATGAAACTTATTTTCTAGTCTATTTCACTTAAAAAAATGCTGCTCACAAATTGCTTTAATGGCCCACTGACAGGTCATGCCCTGCAGTTTTGAAACTGCTCCAATGCCTCTCCCTAGAAGGGAACCACGGGGCTGTAAGGTTCTCGCATCTTCAAGTGCTTGTACCAGTGCACTCATGCCAGCCATTTTCCGCTTTCTCCACATTTGCCAAATCTTGGCACCATCAGACTCTGAAAATGTGTGCTTTTCTGAATGGATACAAAATGGCACCTCATTATTTAAATTTGCATTTCCCTGATTACAACTGGGTATACTGATTCATCTGATTACAGTTATTTGGGTTTCCTTTTTGAACTGTCTCTTTATATTGTTTGCCTACTTTTCTTTTTTTTTATCCTCACCCAAGGACATTTTTCCATTTTTTTGTTCAGATAGAGTGAGAGAGAGAGAGAGAAACATCGATGTGAAAGGGACACACCGAGTGGCTGCCACACGCACGACCCAACCAGGGACGGGGACAAACTGCAACTGAGGTACATGCCCTTAGTGGGAACCGAACCCGGATTTCTCCATACCGCAGGCCGACGCTCTAACCGCTGAGCCAAACCGGCCAGGGCTCTTTGCCTACTTTTCTACTGCACTGTCTTCCGACTGATCTGGCTCCTCTCCTTCTCCCTTCACTGCCTAACTCCTCTCGAAAGGAACCTATCTTTACCCCTGCTCCTTGCCTTTCTTTCACTCTTCAACCCGATACAATCCAGGTATGACACCTTTTCAGTAAATGTTCTCCATTCAATTTCTGAATCTGATGAACACTCTTCAGTCCTGCCTCCTGGTCACGCAACACAATTTCCACCTCCACACTCCTCGGTCTCTACACCACCACTCTCTTGGAGTTCCATCTTTGGATACTTCCTGTCACCAACACTCCCAAGACTAGATCCCAAGCCTCTTGGACCTGTGCCTCTCCTCCACTCCAGCTCATCACTCCCTCCCTCTCCATTGCCCACTTAACCTTGCAGGAGGCTTGTCTGAGGTCTCCCCCTCGCCAGCCTGTATAAGAAATGACTCCGTGACCAGATCTTCCATGGGCATCCCACATCCGAGGATTCAGTCTTCCAAGGCCCTAGTTAGCCAGATACATCATGGACACCAAACACTGCTGCCCAATGTGCCATGCTCTCTCTTGACTCCTTCTTCTGATAGAGCTCAGGCACCTCCTTCCCATGTGGGAATCACCCCAGGGAGGCTGCCCCATCCCTGCATCCCTCTTACATCCAACTGCAACAGACATCACCCGTTGAGCTGCCCATCTCCAGCACTTTGCACAGGGGTTGTATATGCTCAACGGATATTGGTGGAATGAACATACACACACACCTCATCAAAAAATGTAAATATTTGCAAAGCACTCAGGCAACATTCTTGACAATCTGTGAGATGTGTGCATGTCATGTCGCCCTGGCTGGTAAACCCCATGTTAAGTATCTCTAGCATGGAGGGCAAAGATGTGAGGAGGAAGTCCTTACACACGTGCACTTTCAATGGCTGTGGCTGAAACCCAGTTACAGTTAAACTTTGGATACTTACAGGGCTAGTATTATAAATTTAATCCTTTAACAGGCCACAGGTTAACAAAGAGCCCAGTAAGTATAGAAGGGAATTCAGTCTAACCTTCCATCACTCTTTGGAGGAGATGCAGAATGCAGGTCTGAAGAGGTAGCATTTTTGTAAAGGGAGCAAGCTCCGAGTTCTCCAGCAGACGCAGCAGGTGCACAAAAGCCTGAAGGTGACCTAAAATGACCACCAGAGGGCAAGCTGCTGATAAGCTACACAGACCATACTCTTCAAACCCAGTATCGGGACTTCTCTCCTCAGCCCACAGAAATATGGGGAAATACCATCCAGTTTTAAAATAAAAAACGAGGGTGAGATTATTGTTTTCTCTCTCTTTTAAGGCTTGGTTTCTTCTGTCCTCTGGTAACATCATCACAGTAACAGGTGGTCCCATCCTCCCCAAAAGGCTCCCCCAAAAGAAAGCCACGTGAAACTTTCAATTTACCAAACATCTAGTTTTGTTTGTCTTAATCAGGTCTCTAACTTAGGTTCTAAAACTCTTTGAAATAGTGCTGTGGAATGAAAACAAAAAACAAAAACACACGTTCCGATTCAGCCATTGTTTGTTGAGGACCCATAACACACCGAGCACTGTATAAAGTAAATTCAGATGTTAACTGTTAACCTGACAACTCATGAAGTAGGTGTTTGGTACCAGTGGTCATAGTGTTAAGATCTCATTCACTATGGAACTGACCAAGGCAAGACTCATTAACAATATTGTTTGGGTCAAACAATATTCTTCCCTGAATCATATGATGGGATAGTTGTCCTATGCATCGAGAGCCCCCAGGGACCCCAGAGGAAGGGCCCAGCTACCGTGACAATGCACTACTGTGCTCCTAGCCAAAAAGTCCCGATGACACTGGGAAGGCGGAGACTAGAATGAAGACTGTTCTAAAAAAGGCCATCTTGCCCTGGCCGGTTTGGTTCAGCGGTTAGAGCGTCGGCCTGTGGTCCAGAGAGACCCGGGTTCAGTTCCCGCTAAGGGCATGTACCTCGGTTGTAGTTTGTCCCCAGCCCTGGTTGGGTTGTGCGGGTGGCAGCCACTCGATGTGTCCCTTTCGCATCGATGTTTTTCTCTCTCTCTTCCTCTCTCTCCCTCCTGCTCTATCTGAACAAAAAATGAAAAAAAAAAAAATGTCCTCAGGTGAGAATTAAAAATACTTTTTAAAAAAAGGCCATCTCGCCCTGGCCGGTTTGGCTCAGCTGTTGGAGCGTCGGCCTGCGGTCCTGAGAGACCCGGGTTCAGTTCCCGCTAAGGGCACGTACCTCGATTGCAGTTTGTCCCTGGCCCTGGTTGGTCGTGTGGGTGGCAGCCACTCGATGTGCCCCTTCACTTCGATGTTTCTCTCTCTCTCTCTTCCTCCCGCTCTATCTGAACAAAAAATTGAAAAATGTCCTCGGGTGAGGATAAAAAAAAAAGGCCATCTCTGGCAGAGAGCCTAGCCCAGAGCCCACAGACCTATGTCCCATGCCAGAGGACCCCCCTTTCTCTGGTGCCAGCCCTCAGCTCCTCCGGGAGGCCCACCCCACCCGGGCCCACTGCAGCTCTCAGCTCCTACCTCTGCTTCTGGAGGGTCTGGGGTTCCTTCCCAAGATTTACTGTTCCTTTCCATTTCATTCTTCTACTAAAGCATCAACTCTCAAGTTCATAGTGACCTCAAAGTCACCCTAGGACCTCAACTACTTCCCTGAGCATGATGGGAATCCTTGTGTTTTACCCATGTGCACTTCCTGAAAGTAAGTAAAAGGGTGTGAGAACATGCAGGATGGCCCAGACCTCTGACTACTAAGATGCCACGTCACAAACCCCACAGATGCCCATCCACATCAGGGCAGGGCCTGCCCACCAACCCTTTTCATCTGTCAAAAGATACAGAATGTGAGAATCCAAGTGATTCAGCGAGGCCCAGCACACAGAGTTCACCTGGTGAGGAAGCACAGAGCAAGATGGAGATGGTCTGACCCCCAGCTCATGGAGAGAAACAGACTAACGCTTTCTTCTGGAATAACTTGTGGGGACACAGACACGGGACTTCTGCAGGTCTCGCTCCTCTCAAAGGGGCTAGAACAAGCATTCTGAGAACAGGGAAGCTCCCTGCCCCAGCACACAGAGCCTTTAAGAGGGACAGGGAGAACGCAGCCCCGGGCCTTAGCCCTTCATTATCAGCATGGGCCTCAGTGAGACATCTGGTATAACTTCCAGGGCAGGGATGACTTCTCTTTAGTGGCAGGAAACAAACCTAAGTCTGAGGGCATACTGTATCTCACTTTACCCAGAAACCATTTTCAACCTGCATCTATCTTGTAGCTCATATCCCAACAGAACAGAAAGTCACAGCTTCTTAGAGATGCAGCTGTCACCCCACTACAATTTAAAGGCTTCCCCTCAGACATCAAGCTTCTCAGTCACGTAAACCTCAGTGTCAGCCACAGACTGGCTGAGGGGCTGACACGCCGTCCTGATGCGCTGGGAGGACCCGCCACTCAGGCTATTGCAGCCCACCTCCAGGAGCTACACACCTTGGTGTGGGCTCCTTCAAACCAACTCAACCCTCTCGAAGGGACGGTCCTTACAGCCAGCTAAAGAAGCACTACTTCAAGTCTTCCCACATCTAAATCCTTTTCTCTCCTAAGACAAGAAACTCCTGAGGCCCTTTTCTTCCTCTACGGGTTTCGGGACCGAAAACTCCTTTGTGCCTTGGGAAACGAGCGCTGCCTTCTTCACGAGGTCCTCTCGTCCTCTCTGAATCTGGCAGCCATGGCAGTGCCCGGGACCCCAAGGCAAAGGGGGCTGCAAGGCTAAAGGGAAGGGCCGCGTACCTTCCGGTTGGTGAAGTAGAGGTTTTCGTGCATATGCACCCTGAACGTGGGCGTCTTCAGTCCGTGCAGGCTGATGATGCCGTACTTGGAGCCTCCAACTTTGACGTCGTTCACTGTGAAGAGCCGGTCACTGTTGGTATCCGCCTGGAAGGGGAACGTGGCTTGTAAGTGACCTCCCAGGCCTAAGACCACCTGCCTGTCTGTCACAGCCCCCGTACTCTGCACTTTCACCAGGTGAGATCTCCTGCCCACGAGGGAGCGTGGGGATGACCTAATTTCCCTACTTGGTGTAGCCATCACTGGGCAAACCTAACAGGTGTGTTGGCCTCACAATTCTTTTTTTTTTTTCTTCTTCTTTTTTTATCCTCACCCGAGGACATTTTTCCATTTTTTGTACAGATAGAGTGGGAGGGAGAGAGAGGAAGGGAGAGAGAGAGAGAGAAACATCGATGTGAAGGGATACATCGAGTGGCTGCCACCCGCACGACCAACCAGGGCCGGGGACAAACTGCAACCGAAGTACGTGCCCTTAGCAGGAACCGAACCTGGGTCTCTCCAGACCGCAGGCCGATGCTCTAACCGCTGAGCCAAACTGGCCAGGGCTGGCCTCACAATTCAAGAGCAGGGATGAGGATGGCTCTGAGGAATGTGGCCAGGAAGTCTGAGGTCTGCACAGTGACCCCACTCAGAATTGTGTCTACTGAGAGAAACTGTTCAGATGAGACACGGTGACAGCATGTGGCCATCATTAAAGCCACACAGCAACATGGATGCTAGTTAAAACTGTCAAGGGGTAAAAGACACAAAACTGTATTCCCATTACACAGACACCATGACTACCACCAAGTGAAAAAAAAGACATTGCACTGAAAAAATAATTATAATAGAAAAGACTGCATTGGGCTCTGGCCAGTGTGGCTCAGTGGGTTGGGTGTTGTCCTGTGCACTGAAAGGTTGCTGGTTCGATTCCTGATCAGGGCACATGCCCAGCAGGGGGCGTATAGGAGGCAGCAGATCTATGTTTGTTTCTCTCTCTCCCTCCCTCCCTTCCTCTCTCTCTAAAAAAAAAATCCATTAGAAATCTCAAAAAAAGAAAGAAAAGACTGCATTGAGATGTGAGTTATTTTAAGATTTGTTTGTTTGTTTCATTTTTTAAAAATGTGGTGCCCTGGCTGGATGCCTCAGTCGGTTGGAGTGTTGTCTTGATATAAAGAACCCCAGGGATGGGGCTCCTGAGGGGAACCCACTGCAAGAAAGTATTCAGGTCAAACTGGATCCCCAATTACATATAGGGGGTAAAGCCACAGGAGAGAATGTGAGTCCTGGCCTAACACCCCTTATGAGGAAGGGCTCTGCTATCAGGGTCTCCTGGGGCAAGATGTCAAGGGTCAATTCTGTAGCTTCCGCCCCAGTCCTGTCAGCAGATCACCAGGCTGAAGGTCTCCGTTGTGTGTCTCTCTCTCCGTCTCCTTGGCTTTCCCTAAGCCTCCAGGAAAGAAGGGCTTGCTGGGCCGGCCACGCTCTACCATGGCCTCGAATATGCAGTCTAGCTGAGCAGTCTGGCTCCTTCTGTTTGCAGTGGACCCTCTGCCAGTATTTCCCTGGCCCCTGGACTCAAGTGGTTGGCCCTGGCTTCCAGCCCAGGTCTAACCAAAAGCAGAGAAGACTCTGCTCCCTGCAAATGGTGCGATGAAGGTGGCGTGCAGGCCCAGGTCACAGGCCTACAGCCCCTGCTACTCAGGTCAGGAACAGCAAGTGAGGGAGTAACCCACTGTTGCTAACGAGGACACTGGAGCTCTAGGGCTGACCACCAAACCCTGCCCAGTATAGGACAGATTAGAAGCTCCCAGTCCACTGTGTACCCTTTCGATGTGTATACAACACACCCCAGGGAGTTATTTTGTGATGGTTTTCAGTTAATGCAAGGGAGGCCCTAGCTCTCCTGTCAAATGACGGGGTGACAATGGTCACCATGACCTGCCCAGCCAGCGTGGCACCTGCTAATGGGTAGCCAGCAGGTGCCTGTTAAAACTAAAACCAGTGCGCACCTGCTTTCAGGTAACCGGCATCCACACAGCTAGACTCGATGGAGGCCAGCGCGAAGGCACAAGGCTCGGGGACGGCAGCAGCACCCCCGGCACTCACTCGGAGCTCCCTCCTACTCACCAGTATGAGGTTAAATCGGTCGCTTGCCAAAGCAGAGGGATCTGAGCTGTGAATCTGAACCTTCTTCCTCTGCATGCAGCTCACTCGCAGCTCATGGGCTAAACTGCAGAGGAGAAAGAGAGGCGCAGGGACGGCATGGGCACCCTAACCAGATACCCATGAGGAAGATTCAGGGGTTCTGCCCTGCCCCACACCCTGAAGGCCATCTCCCCTAGCTGGCCCTCTCCATATTATTTCTGAGCAATGGAAATGAGCAAGATCCCAAATAAATACAATTTTAGAACTCTTAGAAAAACTAAAGCAAAGAAATGGATGGCCCACTTACAGCGTCAAAGAAAGTCAGAAGTAGAGGGATCTGTTTTGTCATCGAGTACAACTCCCCTTCTTGAGCCAACAGAAGGCGCCTGAGAAGTGCAACATGCCCAGAGCACACAGCTAACAGAAGCGCCAGGCTGGCGCCGCCCACCTCACTGTCACCGCCCCTTCCCTCGCCATCGCATGCTACCTGTCCACTAAGGACAAAGCATGTTTTAGGGTGAAGAACAGATCTTTTTATTTTTATTTTTTTTGTCCTTACCCGAGGACATTTTTCCATTTTTGTTCAGATAGAGTGGGAGGGAGAGAGAGGAAGAGAGAGAAAGACCGAAAGACCGAAACATCGACGTGAGAGGGACACATCAAGTGGTTGCCTCCTATATGACTCCAACCAGGACCAGAGATGAATGGCATCCAAGGTACATGCCCTTGGCCGGAATCAAACCCACAACTCATTGGTCTGCGGGCTGACGCTCCAACCGCTGAGCCAAACTGGTCAGGGCAAGAAGAGATCTTTTTAACTAGACCTTAACTCTTTTGAGGAAATAAGGAGAGGCATGTTTCCACCTGCCCCGGCTCACCTCTGTGCATGGCTGGCCTACAAGGAAGGCGGCCCTGCTTCAAGATGAGACCTGTGTCCCCTCTAAGCTACCCACACTGACGTTTCTTTATTTTTTTCATCCTCACCCGAGGACATTTTCCCATTTTTTGTTCAGATAGAGTGGAAGGGAAAGAGAGGAAGAGAGAGAGAAACATCGACGTGAAAGGGACACATCGAGTAGTTGCCTCCCGCACGACCCATCCAGGGCCGGAGACAAACTGCAACCAAGGTAGGTGCCCTTAGTGGGAACCGAACCCGGGTCTCTCCAGACCGCAGGCCGACACTCTAACCGCTGAGCCAAACCGGCCAGGGCTCACGTTGTTTCTTCACCTGCCCACATAAAGCAGGAGGCAGCAGAACATGGGTTAGGAGCTCAGGCATTAGGAGTGAAACAGATCCCATCCTTTCTAGCTTTACCTTGAGAAAAATCAATCCACTCTGAACCTCAGACTCTTCTTCTAGAAACCAGGGGAAGTGTCAACCTATTCCACAGGGTTTTAGAGTTATATGAGGAATCACAAGTACTTTTATAAAGTTTAGTACATATACATCTATTTAATAATGTTCCATTTTGTCAACAACTTATTAGGTAAGGAGAAGAGAGGCAGGAATCTCACAGGAATGAAGTTGTAAGACCTACTGCAACATCCTGAGGAATTTCTGCCCAACTTCTCTGCCTAGATCCCTTCTCCTCTCTCCCTGACCTCCTGCAGGAGTCTCCTCCTTGCTCTAGAGGGAAAGTGATCCTCTCCGGCTGGTTTCAACAGCTGACAGCAAGCTGTGAACTGGAGCCCCTCAATTGTGAAGGCTCCTCAGACAACAGCTATGTGGTCTCCTGACTGGATTCTTGGACCATTTTTTATTTTTTAAATAAAAAATATAAAAATAATTCTCATGAAGAACATATAACAAGGAGGCATTGACTTACCGGCAGTAACTGGTAGCATTGAGAAAACCCAGCTTGTTTTTTTGTAGCAAAGAAGATGCATTGAAACCCATCCTGGTTATTTTCTAAATTAAAAAAAAAAAAAAAAAAAAAGATAGATTCAGTAAAGTTTCATGTTATAAAATAACAGGGAATATATATATATATTTATATATATATATTTTTTATCCTAACCTGAGGACATTTTTCCATTTTTTGTTCAGATAGAGTAGGAGGGAGAGGGAGAGGGAGAGGGAGAGAGGGAGGGAGAGGGGGGAAGAGGGAGAGGGAGAGGGAGAGGGAGAGAGAAACATCGACATGAAAGGGACACATCGAGTGGCTGCCACCCGCACGACCAACCAGGGCCGGGGACAAACTGCAACTGAGAAAGAATGTGTGAGCTGGAAGGTCTGCTCAATGCTTCTGTCCAAGCCCCCGAGTCAATTTATACCTGGGAAGAAGAGTCCAGCAAGCTAGTGAGTGCAGGAATGGCCCTGGACACTCCGGTCAGCATCATGCTTTCCATTCAACCTATGGTGACCCTCAGGCCCAGATTTTCCATTCTGTTGCCTCAAAACCATCAAAATGTTCTGGCATCTAATCCCCATAAGGGGCATAAGAAACCCTCATATCTAAACCATATACCCTGGTTTTCTATTTAAAATATACGGTTACTGAAACTGTATCATGCTGCTTTTCAAGATTCCCCCAGGGAAGGACAAAATGCTAGAATTACTGATGGAAGTTTGCAAACAGGGAAAGTGGGGTGGGGGTAATTGCTTGTTTGTTCTCATTCTCTTCCTCAGGTTCCCATCAAGACAATTGAACACACTCCCTAAGGTGCACTAAGCCAAGTGTCACCAGGAGTTCGATGGGCACGTGCTTTCAGCAGTGGACGGAGGCTGCAGGAGTGCAGGGTGTAGGGCGCCCTCAGGAGTGTGGAGCCCACCTTTCTCTGCTTGTCCTCTTCCTCTAGCAGCTGCAGCCTTTTGTGCTCCATTTCTTTCTGCTGGATGCTCTCCTTCGTGAGGGGATTGCAGTTGTTATGTCCCGGGAGCAAGCGGAAGTACCGATTCTTTTCAGGGTCAAAGTAATACCCTGGTAGATCTTTAGTCGAAAGAAATAAAATCCAACTTAAAACGCTGTGATCTGACCCACCTAGAGAGGAGCCCAGTGGCCTGTCCACCACCCCTCACAGCTGCCTGACTGTTCTAAGGGGCAGAAAGTAGGCTAACATTGTCAGTCACCATCTTGGGCCCAGTTCAGTGCTGGGGGGAGCTGTTTGCTCAGGATCCCAGTTCTTGGCATACCTAGTTCCTCCCTTTAGTGCTCCAGTTTGCTCCCAGAATTTCCTCTAAGCCCGGAATAAGCTGGTGACACACATGGAGTACACCCACGTGCCAGTGAAGACAGGGCTGAGGAGGAAGGGCAGCCAGAACAGACATAACCAGCTGACGAGACAGGACTAGGTTTCGTCTTTCCCTGCGGGCAGGACCAGAGGAGTCCTATCCAGCAGATGGCCTTACCTGGCACAGAAGAACTCCCAGTTGTGCTGGACGAGGTTGATGGGACCTCCCCGTCGTCCTGGTCGGAATCCTGTGGGCTTTGCTGTGCCCCTGTGTTACACCTGTCGACAGTCATGGTAACTTGCAGTGAAGGGCTGGAGACCCAGTCACCCTCTGACTGTGGGGTCTGGCAGGGGCAGGTTAGGCAGTGCCACAGCCCTTACCCCTGACCCTCTGACCTTTGATTACTTGGGAAGCACTAACTGTGCTTTTCCTTGAAAGTAATTTCCCCACTGCAAATACACCCAAATCAGGGCAAGGTTTTGTCTCTCATCCCTAAGAGGGTGCATGTCACAGTAAGTCCCTTTTCTTATCGCCTCACTTGAGCATTTTGTGAAGTCTTTTGGAATTTTCTGGGTGAAAAGGAGAACAGCAATCTTTGCCGGTAAGAATTCTACCAGCTGGGCTCATCTGTCAGCTCAACAGCAGTTACAAGGCCAGGTGAACCTCACCCTTTACTGGATCCTGCAGTTCAAAGAGTTTAAATTGTTCTTGGCTACACAACCTTACAGATGGAGAAACTGGGGTTCAGGGCACAGAGGGGATCTGCTTGGTAATACTGGGATAGAGCCATGGTTTAAACACTCATTTTGCAAAGCTACAACCAGCTTCTATGGCAATTATAGGATAAAGGACATAATGATAGAGCCAAAGACCTAATTTTAGAATTCCAATAAAATCCTCTTTAAAATCAAGAACCTTCTCTCTCTCCCCACACTCAAAGGAGTACAAATTGCAAAACTAGGTTGAAGGAATAAAAAAACTTCTCTCTATAAATACTATTCATGGTTCCAGGGAAAATTTATCCTCCCTTTTTATGGTCCAGAGCTTCCTACGGCAGCTCATCTGTGATCAGCAGCAGGAGGAAGGAAGGATTAAATGTCATGACAAATGTCCGTGTCTCTGGTCCAAGGACTGCTACTCCATTCTTTCCACATGGAGCCCAGAAGGTGGCTGTCCAGCGTGTTTCCACTCAACTCTGCCAAAGCTAAGTTGAGACTCCTTGCACAGATCACATTTTACTACACATTGTGCTCTGTGGGAAGGCCCGAGGTCCAAAAAGTATCCATAGTTCTCCTTTCAAAACATACAAACACTGGGCACTGTCCTGATCTTCCTACAATGTTGGTCAAGTCTGGGACTTTGGCTAAGAGTAATATTTTATTCTGCACCTAAGGAGGCCCACCACATATGGAGGGCCTAACTCAGAGCCAGGCTGCCCATCAGGGGCTGTATATACTTTACTGGGAATTTCACAAGTGAATTATTACAAGAAGAGTAACTCAAAGTGATTAAGTACCTTGCCCATAAGAAGAAGCAGAGTGTCAAACTCAGACCTCTTAATTCCAAAGCCCTTGTTCCTTCCACATTTAGATGCTTTTTTCACTGTTCGGGTGAATCTTTTCTAAAGAAACATCACGGCATTTGACATCTTCTGACTCTATAATTAGAAATCAGTCCATTTCAAAAGTAGGTCTGGAGTATGAAAGGGTTTTGAAATCGGCACACAGGTCTCCTTTGGCAAGGAGGGGCTGTGAAGACTTCTTATGGCCAAAGTCATGCCAAGAGCCCTGCACTGTGAATAGGTGTCCTCTCTGGGTGTGAGGTGATTGGGGGCAGAATCCTGTTCTGAGACTAGATTGCTTGTATTTCCTTCATACAGAAAAATAAGTAGAATGGAACATATTTTTACTGGGATTCCAACTAAGTATGGACTAGGCTTTATTTTTAAGCTGGGTGGTAGGTGCACAGTATTCACTGTATTATTCTTTATACCCATTTTGTTTTTAAATACTGTATTATAAATATAGCTTCTCTCTCAGAACTTAGACTGAATTAATGAAATTACATTTGTAAAAAGCTATTTTCATTGGATGGGGAAAAAAAGACAAGAAAAGAGAGAGAGGGAGTCTAAAAAGTGGAAAAACAACTCTCCTCCAGTTGTATCAGATAATGTCTACTTCTAAACCTACGGCTAATGCTCCGGCCAGACGTCATGGTCACTCTGAAAGGAAAGAAAGAAAGAGTGTGGCCACATCTCCTCCCTATTCAAAGTGTGGCAGGCAGGCTGACCTGCCGCAGCAACATCCCCTGGGAGCCTGTTAGAAATGCAGACCCTCACCCTGGCCGATGTGGCTCAGAGGTTAGAGTGTCAGCCCGTGGACCAGAGTTGCGGGTTTGATTCCGGTCAAGGGCATGTACCTTGGTTGCGATTCGGTCCCCGGCCCTGATTGGGGTCATGCGGGATGCAACCAACCAATATGTCTCTCTCACATGGATGTTTCTCTCTCTACCTCACACTCTATCTGGAGATAAACAGATACATGGAAAAGTGTCCTCGAGCGAAGATTTAAAAAAAAGCAACCCTCTTTGGGCCCCGACTAGAACCCTGCATTTTGACGAGACCCCCAGTGACTCATGAGCATGTGAGGGTGCTGGAGAATACTAGAACGGCTCTGGGGAACAGTACTTGCCTTTCACTGGAACTGTGTTGTCTGAATCTAAGGTTCTGCCACTGGCTCCTTCTTCCATGTCTTCTACTTTTCCAGCTGCTTTTATACATTTCTGCTCCTGTGAGAAAAAAATTACATACAGATGTGTGTGCATGCATTCTTCTTTCTGTTCACTTCCTGACAGTTCCTTCATGCTCAGAACCAGGCCCAACCTGGGTTATCATCAAAGCCGCCATACCAAGCCTCACCTGTAAAGAGCCGCCCTCCCGATGGAGACACCAATCAAATCCACTGTCCATACACACTTCTCTAGCTGCAACTCTCTTACCGTACTGTTGACACCTGGCCTGACACCTGCTAACCTCCATACCCTGGGCAAAGTGGTGACAGACTCACAATTACTTTAAGACAACAGTATGAGCCCGGCCTGAGAACTCTCTTGGTTTGTTCTTCCTTTTTTCCCCCTTACCAGATAACACCAGAGCACATCATTTTTCTTTCTATCTACACACATCCCATTTGCAGAGAAGAGTTAATAATGAATACTTTCTCCTACAGTTTTAGTATTGAGCAGGGGAAATTGTGAACATAATTAATCATGAACTAGTTGTTTAAGTTTCAGGCTTTCTCAACATCTGGTAACTTTTTTTCTCTATCACTGGAGACACTGATAACATCTTACCTAAGACATTTTAAAATCACATTAAGCCCTGGCCAGGTGGTTTAGATGGTTGGGAGTGTCATTCTGGGTTGGAGTCCCAGTCGGGGGATATACCTGGGTTCTGGGTTAGATCCATGTACTGGAGGCAACTAATCAATGTTTCTCTCTCTCTTTCCCTTCCTCTCTCTCTACAATCTATAAAAACAGCCCTGGCCGCTTTGGCTCAGCGGTTGGAGCAAGGGCCTGCGGACCACAGAGTCCCAGGTTCGGTTCCTGCTAAGGAACATACCAAAAAAGAAAAAGAAACTTAAAATCTATAAAAACATATCCTTCGGTGAAGATTAAAAATAAATAAATAGCCCAGCCAGTGTGGCTCAGAGGGAGAGGTCCCGGTTAGACTCCTGGTCAGGGCACAAGCCTGGGTTGCAGGCTCAATCCCCAGTAGGGGGTGTGCAGGAAGCAGCCAATCAAAGTGTCTCTCTCACACCGATGTTTCTCTCTCTCTCCGCCTTCCTCTATCTCTCTAAAAAAATCAATGAAAACATATTTTAATAAAGAAATAAAACCACATTCAAATGCCATAACAAAGTTAAGAAAAAAAAACCTTCTGCGGCTGAATATAACCAAAGAACAGACTAGAAATCAATTTGCCTTTATTTCCCAACTTCTACTTAAAAAAAAATTTTTTTTCTTGCCCTGGCTGGTTTGGCTCAGCGTTTAGAGCATTGGCCTACGGTCTGGAGACCCAGGTTCTGTTCCCGCTAAGAGCACATACCTCAGTTGCAGTTTGTCCCCAGCCCCGGTTGGGGTCGTGTGGGTGGCAGCCACTCGATGTGTCCCTTTCACATTGATGTTTCTCTCTCTCTCTCCCCCTCCCACTCTATCTGAACAAAATATCAAAAAATGTCCTTGGGTAAGAATTAAATAAATAAATAATAAATAATTTTTTTTCTTTATTGATTTTAGAGAGAGAGGAAGGGAGAGGGAGAGAGATAGAAACATCAATGAGCCCAGCCGGTGTGGCTCAGTGGTTGAGCATCAACCCATGCACCAAGAGGTCACTGGTTTGATTCCCAGTTAGGGCACATGCCCAGGTTGTGGGCCAAATCACCAGTGGGGGTCATCTGGAGATGTGCCCTGACTGGGAATCGAACCAGAGACCTCTTGGTGCATGGGACTATGCTCTCAACCACTGAGCCACACTGGTCGGGCTCCCAACTTCTACTTTTGAGTGCAGAATACCTGTTAGCATCAAACAGAGCACCAGAAGTTTGGACCTACATTATAGAACTTAGCATTTATTCAACCACTTTCATGTCAACCTATGATTGTGAGTTGGGGTTATTTCAATACAAAGAAAAGGAAGGAATATTTAGTGAGTATGGTGCTTAACCAAACATTTCACAACTCTGTAACAAATTTCTTGATTTGGTGGTGGGAACATAAAATGCCACCATTTTAGAAAGTTTTACAGTTCCTCAAAAGGTTCAACATAGCCCTCGCCAGTTTGGCTCAGCGGTTAGAGCGTCGGCCTGCGGTCTGGAGAGACCCGGGTTCGGTTCCCGCTAGGGGCACGTACTTCGGTTGCAGTTTGTCCCCGGCCCTGGTTGGTCGTGCGGGTGGCAGCCACACGATGTGTCTCTTTACATCGATGTTTCTCTCTCTCTCTCCCTTCCTCTCTCTCCCTCCCACTCTATCTGTACAAAAAAAAAAAAAGGTTCAACATAGAATTACCATATGAACTAGCAAAACCCAGCAGAAATGAAAACACATGGCCATACAAAAATTTTGACAGGAATATTCACAGCAGCATTATTCATAATTGCTTAAAAGTAGAAACAGCCCATATTTCCATCAGCTAATGAATGCATAAAAAATGTGGCACATCCACGCAACAGAATGTTATTGGGCCATAAAGAAAATGAAGTACTGATACGTGACACAACATGGATGAACCCTGAAAACATATACTAGGTGAAAGAAGTCAGACACAAAATTGTATGATTCAATGTATATTGAATATCAGAACAGGCTAATCCAGACACACCCACACACTCACCCAGAAAGTGCTTTATAGGGGCTGGAGGTGGCGGGAGAGGAGGTAGAGAATGAGGATCAACTAAATGGTACAAAAGTCTTTTTTTGTTGTTAATCCTCACCTGAGAATATTTTTCCATTGATTTTTAGATAGAGTAGAAGGGAGGGAGGGAGAGAGAGACATCGATGTGAGAGAGACACACTGATTGATTGGTTACCTTCCACATGACCCCAACCAGGGCCAGGGATCAAACCTGCAAACCAGGTACATGCCCTTGATTGGAATAAAACTTGAAACCCTTCGCAGGCCAACGTGCTAACTGCTGATCCAAATTGGCCAGGGCAATGGTCTTTTTTTTTTAAAGCTTCCTGAAAGTCCGTATTTCTGATATGAAGACTTGTTTTTTCCAGTTATCCCAAATGAGTTGATAAATGCTGATTAAATTGTTTTATACTTCCAGGAATAAGAGTGACTAAGGAAAAAGGTTATACCCTTTTATTAACTAGGTGGTAGCTTGGTAAAATTTTTATAGAATTTTAAATGATTTATGATATTCCATGTCTACCTGTTTATGTTTTCTTAGACAACAATGCCACCAGATTACTAGCTTCCCAAAAGTTGTAGTACTGTATATAATACTTTAGTATGACAGCAGTTTTAAAACCATAATTAGGTTAATTCTGACTTTTATTTAAACTAAAATTGGGAGAAAAGAGTCAATGGGGGGGGAAAGGGGGAAGGTCCAGCTGGTGTGGCTCAGAGGTTGAGTGTCAACCCAAGCACCAAGAGGTCACCGGTTAGATCCCAGTCAAGACACATTTGGGGGTTTCAAGCTCCATCCTCAGTGTGGGGGAGGTGTGGGGGAGGCAGCCAATCAATGTTTCTCTTTCATATCAATGTTTCTATCTCTCTCTCTCCCCTTCCTGTCTCTAAAAGATCAATAAAAACATATTTAAAAAACAACAAAGCCCTGGCCAGTTTGGCTCAGCGGTTAGAGCGTCGGCCTGAGGTCCGGAGAGACCTGGGTTTGGTTCCTGCTAAGGGCATGTGCTGCGGTTGCAGTTTGTCCCCTGCCCTGGTTGGGTAGTGCAGGAGACAGCCACTCGATGTGTCCCTTTCACATCGATGTTTCTCTCTCTCTCTTCCTCCCACTCTATCTGAACAAAAAATGGAAAAATGTCCTCGAGGGAGGATAAAGAAACAACAACAACAACAACACAAAATGACCTCTACAAGGAGCTTGCTGTGCCCACCCTGCATGGGTATTTTTTTTAACTCTACAAATGAGGAAACAGGCTTACAGGGCTAAGTATCATGCCCCTGCTGGTCTGGCACCTGGGCCTGGTGACCCACAGGATACCCCCTCAACTATAATTTCACCATTACTTAAAACTAGAGTTTGGGGCTTTGGAAATTTGTTTTTTCCAGAAAGTTGTCACATTAGTTTTATTTCCTTCTTGCTGTTCGATTCACAAGACAATGTCTCCACGCCCATGAAGGGGAAGGAGGTATCACGGTGTCTGAGTAAAGTGGATAAATGAGGCTTCCTGGACATGCAAGTACTGATGTGGAAAAGGTGGCTTTCCTACTAACACAACTCCATATGGAGGCTAAACCAGAAAGTTTGGGTTCAACCCTGGGCTCCACTACTTACTACATTGTGCCTTACCTTAGGCAAATCACAAATCTCACTGGGTTTCTTACTGTGTCCGACAAAGATAGGTGTATTATCTACTAACTACCTCACAGGGCTTGTGAGCAAAAACTTCAGGGTTGTAAAGCAGTAAGCACAGTGCCCAACAACAGTCTGTAAGTGCTCAACCTGTGTTACCTGTTATGTTGACCTGTCGGAAAAGGCCAACCAAGCCCTGGCCGGTTTGGCTCAGCGGTTAGAGCGTCAGCCCGCAGGCCAAGGAGTCTGAAGTTCGATTCCCGGTCAAGGGCAGTACCTGGGTTGCAGGTTCCATCGGCCCTTCCGGGTGGAGCGGGAGACAATCGATGTGAGAGACACATCCACGTTTCTCCCTTTCCCTCTCCCTTCTATCTAAAAATCAATAGAAAAAATATCCTCCGCGGAGGATTAAAAACCAAAAATTACCAACCACAATCAGAACTTTCTGAGAAAGCGGCGAGCGGGGAGGGCCCGCAGTCCAGTCGCTGGCGGGTAGTGGGTGGCACCTTCAGCAGCAGGGCTTAGAAAACGCTCCTTCGGGTCAGACACTGAGCAGCGACTTTCGGAATCCCCTTCCCCCAACCCCCTCGGGGATGTGCGGCTGCAGAACCGACCAGACAGGACAAACCGGGCTCCTCGCGCCCACGAACCCTGCACACCGGGGCTCGCCCTCCCAGCCTCCCACCCGCGCCACGATCAGGCCGGCGTTCCACGTGCTCGGCTCCTCCCCGCCCCTTCCCCCACGCCCTTGTCCCACCCCGAGTTCCGTCCGGGGAGCAGCAGCAGCCCCTGGACCGATGCCAACAGTCACCCCAGCCAGCACAGACTTACTCGATTGTAGGATCGTTTCCGGCTCTCCCTCGGGCCGGAGATCGGCAGAACTAGTGGCGAAGCGTGAAAGGACCCGGAAAGACCAAGCTATAAGGTCCGCCAGTTAGTTGCGTCCGTTTTTGTGCTTTAGCAGCGGATAGGGCCAGGGCTGCCGCCCCTTCGTTCTCATTGGGCGCGGCTTCTGACTGTCTACGCCTATAGGGTGGATCCTACGGAGAGGGCGGGGACTGGGGTTTCGGCTCCGCCCAAGCCTGGCGAAGAAGCCGCGTGTCCGCGGGCGTGTTTGGGTCGGGCGCATTTGGGGGCGGGGCCGGGCGCGCTAGGGGGCGGGGCGGGGCGGGGCGGGGCGGGGCGGGGCGGGGCGGGGCTGGAGTCTGCGTTGGAAACTCACAAGCTTCCAGGCTGCCTTCTCCAGGATGGTGGGTATCCTACCTAGCACTACCTTTTCTGTTCGCAGCCGATGGAACCAGCCTGTAGAAATTATCGCGCCGTTCGGGGCTACTCTCTTCAAAACTGAGACTTGGGGAGAAGGAAAGTTTGTGTTGTGGGAAGAGAGAAGGAGGTTCTGAGATGAGGGAGAGAAGGAACAGGTGAACAGGTGGCGTTGTCTACCTAGACCTGAGGTAGCTGAGGCTGCTAATCGTAGGTCTGCGTAGCTGCAAGGTGCAGAGGAGCTTGCCCAGAACTAATCAGGAGGTCTTGCTTCTAGGTCTAGTGCAGCTTCCTGCTTGCTGTGTGACCTAGGGTGAGTCTCCCCTTTCTGTGCCTTGATTACTTATGTTGAAACAAGGAATTTAACTTAATGTTTTCTGATGTTCTTTCCAATGCAGAGTTTGTTCACACAACCAATATTTTCATAATATTCTCAGTGCTGTTCCGGGTATCTGCTGACAGCCATCAGATGTTATAAAAGGAAAGTGGAAGCCTGTGACGGGCACTTGAGTGGAAGTGACAGTTTTGTGAAGAGAGCTGGGTTCAAATAGACCAGGGTTGGTTTTTGCCACAAATGGGCCTGGTGCACCATGTACCCTGTTAACTCAGGCACCTGTGAGTGGCTGAACCCATTTGAAGTTAGGTTGTGGAATTTATCAACTGTACCTGTGTGTGAAATCATTTTTTAAAAATATGTTTTCATTCATTCTTTTTTAAGAGAGATAGAAACATCGATGTGAGAGAGAAACATCGGTTGGCTGCCTCCTGTATGCCCCCAACCAGAGATCGAGCCCGAAACCCTGGCACATGCCCTGACTGGGAATCAAACTGGGACCTCTCAATCTATGAGATGATGTTCAGTACACTGAGCCATACCCGCTGGGCTATGAAATCACTTTAGTCAACATCAGAGAAGGTAGGATTTTTACTCTCAAAGAATTTACAAATGCAGGGTGTAGAGTCGGGGGGTGGGGGGAGGTGGGGAGAGGAATGAGAGAAGTGAGTATATTCAGAATAAAGGACAGCTTAATGAAGCTTGAGTGGCCTGAAAGAGAAGAAGAGAGAACTTTCAAGCTGTACAAACAACCTGACTCAAGGAATAGTGAGGCATTCCTTTTGGCTGGATGAGAAGGGAGTCTTGGAAGCAAAACCAGCAAGGTAGTTGGGTCAAATCAAAAGGAGCATGCAAAGGGAGCCCCTGAAGGTTTGAGAGTTGGGGACTAGTGAGTGCTGTGCAATAGGGAAATCACCTGGGCAGCACTGTAAATGAGATTGGAAAGATTGTGGAAGTCCACTAAGAGACTCCCTAGGAGCTTATTGCAGCAGCAATCCCTATGAAAGGTATAGCAGAACCAGAGTGGTGGCAGCTGGGATGGAAGGGAGGAGTAGATGAGAGACACATTTCTTCCAAATCTGAACTCTTTGGGAGGAGTCAAACTGGATTCTAAACTGAAGAGCTGGGGGTCACTGGAGGAAGTCAGGAGTTGGCTGGGGGCTTGCTGAGTGACCTTATGGCAGACAGCTAGCCAGCAGGCTCTATGAAAGGAACAGTGGGGTAGGCACCAGATAAGATTTGCAAATCAATGACAAAGGAAGCTGGGCATCTCTGAACCTGTTTCCTCATATGTGAAATGAGGATAATGATAAAGTCGTGAGAAGTAAATGTGATGACTGTAAAAGATCAGTGCCTTCTGTTATGAGGATGGGTTGGTGCCCAAATGGTGCATATTACCAGCCAAAGTTAAAATAATTCTTTTTTAAAAATTTCATTTCCAGAATTGAAGCCAAGGCAAATAAAAGTTTTTCTTTGAAATGGGACCTAAAATGAATCAACATTAAATTTGAATACTTAAAAAATTAACAGCCCTGGCCGGTTTGGCTCAGCGGTTAGAGCGTCGGTCTGCGGTCCACAGAGACCTGGGTTCGGTTCCCACTAAGGGTACATACCTCAGTTGCAGTTTGTCCCTGGCCCTGGTTGGGTCGTGTGGGTGGCAACCACTTGATGTGTCCCTTTCACATCTATGTTTCTCTCTCTCTCCCTCCCACTCTATCTGAACAAAATATCCAAAAGTGTCCTCGGGTGAGGATGAAAAAGAAAAATTAACAATACTTTATATGTGCCACATATTTTAAAAGCATTTTCCACATATTTATTCTTTTAATTACAACAATCCTGTGAGGTAGGTACTATTACTATCTTACTATCTTCACTTTGCTGATGAAATTGAGTCATGGAGAGATTAAGTCACATGGCTGGTGAGTGGCAGAGCCAGGATTCAAACCCAGGCAATTTAGTATGAGAGTCTGTGCTCTCAAGGCAAAAACTATCATGATGAAAGTTAAAAGACATACTTCAGCCCTGGCCGATTTGGCTCAGCGGTTAGAGCGTCGGCCTGCGGTCCAGAGAGACCCGGGTTCGGTTCCCGCTAAGGGCATGTACCATGGTTGCAATTTGTCCCCAGTCCTGGTCGGGTCGTGCGGGTGGCAACCACTCGATGTGTCCCTTTCACGTCGATGTTTCTCTCTCTCTCTCTCTCTCTCTCCCCCTCCCACTCAATCTGAACAAAAAATGGAAAAATGTCCTTGGATGAGGATTAAAAAAAAAAAGACATACTTCAATTTGGTATAAAATATCTACAATTCATATTACTCAAAAGAGCTAATTTTCCTGTATATAAAGGTGCTCCTACAAATAAACTTAACAGAGATGTGGCTATATGAAAGGATGTTCAACCTGATGCAAATAAAGAAAATGTAGTTTAAAACTCTGAATTATTTTTTCATAACCAGATAGGCAAAATCCAGAATCTTGTAATACAGTACTCAGGCCTTCATATAATCTGTAAGTGAGATAATTTGGCAATATGTCAATATTTATTTTAAAAATGTGTACCCTGGCCAGTGTGTCTCAGCGGTTGGAGCATCAGCCTGCGGACCAGAGTCCCAGGTTCGGTTCCCGCTAAGGGCACGTACCAAAAATTAAAAAAAAAAAAAAAATGTGTAGCCCTGGCCAGTTTGGCTCAGTGGTTAGAGCATCGGCCTGCGGTCCGGAGAGACCCGGGTTCAGTTCCCGCTAAGGGCACGTACCTCGCACTCGATGTGTCCCTTTCACATCGATGTTTCTCTCTCTCTCTCTTCCTCTCTCTCCCTCCCACTCTACCTGAACAAAAAATGGAAAAATGTCCTCGGGTGAGGATGATAAAAATAAATAAATAAATAAAAATGTGTGTATCGCCCTGGCCAGTTTGGCTCAGCGGTTAGAGCGTCGGCCTGTAGTCCAGAGAGACCCAGGTTCGGTTCCTGCTAGGGGCAAGTACCTCAGTTGCAGTTTGTCCCTGGCCCTGGTTGGGTCATGCGGGTGGCAGCCACTCGATGTGTCCCTTTCATGTTGATATTTCTCTCTCTCTCTCTCTCCCCCCCTCTCTCCCTCTGTCCCTCCCTCCCCCTCCCACTCTATCTGAACAAAAAAAATGGAAAAATGTCCTCAGGTGAGGATAAAAAAAAATGTGTGTACCTTTGACCTAGCAATTACACTGCTAGGAATTCATCCTAGAAATGTATTTGTACCCTGGCTGGTGTGGCTTATTTGGTTGAAGTGTTGTCCAAAGGATCATGTGTTCGATTCCTGGTCAGGGCACATACCCAGGTTGTGGGTTCACTCCCTGGTTGGGGCATGTTCGGGAGGCAACCAATCGATATTTCTCTCTTTCTCTCTACAATTGGTAAACATATCCTCAAGTGAGGATATGTTTAAAATTACTTAGGTACATGGAGCATTGTATAATAGTAAAAGTTTAGAAGTCATCTTTTTTTAAAAAAAAATCTTTATTGTTGAATGTATTACACATGTTCCTCATTTTTCCCCCATTGACCCCCTCCTCTCCCACTCCCACCCCCCTCCCGCCTTTTCCCACACTATTGTCTGTGTCCATGGGTTATGCAGATAAATTCTTTGGTTTATTTCTTCCCACCCCCCAACCCCTTTCCCTTTGAGGTTTGTCAGTCTAGCAATGAATTTGTACTTCTTAATCCCTTCACCTTTTTCACCCATTATCCCTCCCATCTGGCAGCCAACAAAATGTTCTGTGTATCTATGAGAATGTTTTTGCTCTGCCTGTTCATTTTGTTTGCAGATTCCATTGTTGATAGATATGTATTCATTGCCATTTTGTTTGTTCATATATTTTATCTTTTTCTTCAAAAAGACCCTTCATCATTTCATATAATAATGGTTTGATAGTGATGAACTCCTTTAACTTTTTCTTGTCTGCGAAACTCTTTATATGGCCATCGATTCTAAATGACAGCTTTGCAGGATAGAGTAATCTTGGTTGTAGGTTCTTGCTTTTCATCACTCTGAATATTTCTTGCCACTCCCTTCTGGCCTGCAAAGTTTCTTTTGAGAAATCAGCTGACAGCCTTATGGGAACACCTTTGTAGGTAACTAACTGGTTTTCTCTTGCTGCTTTTAAGACTCTCTCTTTGTCTTGAACCTTTTGCATTTTGATGATGATGTGTCTTGGTGTGGGCCTCTTGGGGTTCATCTTGTTTGGGACTCTCTGTGCTTCCTGGACTTGTATGTCTGTTTCCTTCACCAAGTTAGGAAAGTTTTCTGCCATTATTGTTTCTAA